TGGAGTTCATGTATTTTTTAACCTAAACAAGTGGTTATATTATTTTTTTAAAATTGACTAAAACCTTTCTTTTATTTTAAGACTACTCATAAGGCTTATGTAAAAAAGGTCAAGAAAATTTATATATTTATTGTTTAATTTCCAAAAAATTTTTTATCCACATGTAAGGTGATAGAAATATTAACATTCATTAAAAAAAAAACATATTTTCAATATGTTTATCCTGCCAAATATCTAGTCAAGAATTTAAAAAAATATATTGTTACATTGAAAAACCTAGTGGCAGTAAACATTTAAAAAAAAGGTTTAAAGCAAGGATGTTTCAGAAATACAAAACAAAAACCTTAAAAATGTTAGATAATATACTAAAATGCAAGTTCAAATGCTAAGGTATTTTTATGAATAATAAGTAGAGGAAAATGTTATAATAAATAAATAAATAACTCATTTAATGTATGTAGTGCAATATCATTCAACAACAAGTATTTTCCACAAATATTTTGAACAACATTACGACTGCTAACTAAAGGCCTGACAAAAAAATTGTTGTGCTGCCTTTAACATTTAGCTGATGTTTTTTAATGGGTGCAAAAAAAAACAATTAATGTCAATCATTATTAACTGTATTAATCAAATAAAATGTATTTCAAACAAAAAATATAAAAAAAATCTACAGAAAGAGTAAAATGTTTACAATTAAAAAATTTAAAACAGTGGAACCTCTATATTTAAGTCAAAATATTTTAACAAATAAATACTTAAAAATTACTTTTTTAAAAAGCATGAGAAATGTAAGCACCAAATTTAAGTACAACTGAATTGACTACTTCCCTGGTGATTACATTCCTATACACTGGCAGCTTCAGCACTGACGTCATTCAATACCTTGTACTATTTAAAAAATTGAGATGATTTTGATGTGTATCTTCAATTTTTAGTTTTAGCTTTTTAGTAAACATTGCCAAACATAGCATGATGCAATAGGTAATATATTGAAATATTTATTGATTGTACACATTCACTTTATTTTAAATTTATATTAAGCTGTTTTATTTTAAGGGAATCACCGATTTATGATTTCCTTGTTGTATATGGACTTGGGGGAGGGGGGAGGTAAAGCATGACATGTTTAATTTAACATCAATAGACATAATGTACATGATGCTACAACACAGAACAGTAAACCACCATTTAAATGTATAACTTTTTATCTTAAAAAAAAAACAATCCACCAAAGCAACAGAAATACACATTCGCATGTTATTGGATTAGTGTATTTTAAGTAAGTCGTGATGGGTCTATTATATTTTTATGGCTGTTCTTATAGGGAGGATGGGGCTGCAGTGCCCAAAGTGTGTGTGGAAAAAAAAGGGGGGGGGGGGGTATAAAATTAGTTTCCAATAGATGTCAAAAATGAATAGATCTGGAACTAACTATAGGAACGTGTACATTATTAAAACATAGAGGTTCCACTAAATTTTGAATGCTTTCAATAATTAAACTGAAATTAAAATTCCCTAGTTAGTTAAGTGGGTACATTAAAAACTTCAGTAAAATATACAAAATTGCATTACTACACTTGAGTATTATCATTTACACATCATTAAATAAATTTAAAATATCATATTTGGTTATTGCTTGTTAAAGTTATGAAGCCTTTGGATGAAGGGAGTCATACAAATTCTGTAACTGAATCATAAATCCTGGGTTTGGACAGGTAGCAGGACGTTTTGACCGAAGAAATGAAAATGCTTCATTTACAGACATACCCTCCTTTTTAATGAGATACGCCATTACTATGGCAGCTGAGCGGGAGATTCCAGCGTTACAATGAACAAGAACGCACCCATTTGAATTTCTACCTTTATCAATAAAGTCTATAGCATTTTCAAAACCTTTAAAGATTGGAAACTCTGGTAAGTCAAGAAATTCTTGAGTCTGATAAGTAAATTTGTCTGGATACATATTTTCTATTCCTGTGGCAACATTAAGAATATGAGTAACTCCATGGCTCTGCAGGGTGTCGAGATCATGAGCCACATCTTGGGAACCTGCAAAAGATTGTATTGTAAAAATTCACAGGTTTGTTTAAGGTTCAAATATATAATTAAGTCAATTCTCAAATTTCTCTGAACCTGTCAATTTTAAGCTGTTTTTTTTTAAGTTTTTATCAGCAATAGATGAGGTTGGACTTTAAAAAAAGTAATCTATATATATAATTCTCCACGTGAGGACCATGCGAGACACCACCACGTAAGGGCTTAGCCATTCCTACCTCGCTCTCTCTAGGCATATTGCTACCACCCCCACCCCACCAGTCTGGTGAGCTGTGGTTAACACTAAATGTTTACAAGCCGGGTCGAACAAGTGACTGTTAGGGGCAGATAATTTAGTTTTTAAATGATTTGAAACTAAGGGGAGGTAACAATTTGTGCTTGATCTTTTCATTGTCGTCTGTAAACTGTCGTCACAGACGGCTGCTTTCACTGAGGGGGGTGGGAGTGGAAAGTGAGGGTGAGGATAATCATCCTTCATGAGCTACTGATAGTGTTTTAAAGCAAAACATTTTCAGTCGCAGCATTGGTAGTGTCGAATTCACAAATTATGAATTACTGAAAGTAGAAAATAAAACAACTAAATAGCTACGTCGGAGGGTGAAGCTAACAGTATTTTTTCATTAAGTCTAAATAACACAGCAGCAAAGAAAACAAGCATGTATGTTATACCCATCAATAAGCCTGGTCTGACTTCAGCAACTTGTAAATCTTCAGAAGTGTCCAGAACAAATCCATGTTGACTACTGTCTGATGCTCTTCGATAAGGAATCCCTTGGTCATCTTTTCCTTCAATAATGCGGCTCCCATCTGGATTTGTGATGGTTGTTTCAGTTTTTCGTAGAGCTGCTTTGTCAAATTTGTGTACAGCAGCTAAATTAAGAGGCGGCGGCTTCATCCCATGTCCAGCCATAGATGATTTTTTTTTTTTTTTTGCTGTTAGAGACTAGTTTAAAAAAAATTGTTTTCAACAAAACATACACTTATCAGTCTTAAGAGAGTCTCTGCTTTCATTTTATGGTGGCGCCTAGCCTAAGAGAGAACAACTCAGCTGGTAATGGGAAAATAAATATATTTTTCAAGGTTTTTCAATCAGTATGGATCTTAAAAATGGGAAGGTGTTGCCTAGCGGTAGAGAACTAGACTGCTCACCCGAGAGTTTCAAGTTTGAATCCGTGGTCAATTCAGTGGAGCGTCCCTGAGTCCACCCAGCTCTGATGGGTGCCTACCTGTGTTAGGGAAATAAAGGCGGCTGGGCATAGTGCTGACCACACGATCCCCTCATATGCCAAGGTCTCTGAAGCAGATGAACTCTACTTTATCTGCTCCAAGTGTCTTGGACACGAACAGGAAATGATGATGATAGATATTAAATAGGGTTAAAGTAATGGTCAGGATCTACATTGGGGGTGATCCATTTATGACGTCCACACAGAGAGAGGTCCCAAAAAATCGACGCATGTGGACGGGGTGGTTGGGGGTGTTCAGGTCGATGCCCATAGGTTAAACTTAATGTCAAAGTACAAACGCTTCAAAACAAATATAAAATTCTTATCCTGCATGTACAAAGTGAAATTAAGACGAGATTACTCGTTTTAAAATAAAGACCTCTAGATTCTACTTTTGATATTTTGTCAAAAGTGGACAGGGGGAGGTCTAAAATCCAAAATTGTTGTGGATGTCATAAAAGGATGACCCCTTAGGTTAATGATAGGACTAGAGTTTTGTACTTAGAAAATGTTTTGTTACATTTGATACATAGAAGGGCTCATAATGTCATTTTTTATTGCTGCCTCCACTTCAAGCAGTAGTAGTAACATGAGAAGAGTAAGATCACATTAGGTTAGTAGTTAGTAGGATGATGGATAATGGGGTATACCAATGTTCTATAATAGACTTCCGAAAATAGATGTTAGGTTGTTAGTAAAATAGTATTGTTACTTATACTGTACTCTCTAGTCTAGTTTTGTGGTTAGAAATTATTAGGGATGATAGAAGATACCGATGTCCGATAATAGGCTCTTCCAAAAATAGGTGTGTTAGGTTGTTAGCAGTATTGTAATTGCGTCTAGTTTTATAGTTAAAAAATGGATGCATCTATTCGGACCCGGGTCCCAATAGCCACAGCCGCTATTGGGACCCGGGTCCTAATAGCCTTGGCCACTATTGGGACCAGCCAATAGAATTGTTAAGATTTAGTTACACAAAAATTCTTTTAAGATGCAGAATATATCTTTTCTGTTGTGATTCTTTTCCTTGTAATTCTAAATGATATATTGAGATCTTGCTTTAAATACCCGATATCATTACTGACAAATGTTATGATGAGCGGGTGTCGTTAGATCAATAATATAATTATGGCCTATGGTTCGAAATTCTATGGCCGAGCGAATGTTGAGCGCGCATGTTAAAATGTGTTTTATTTATTTTTTTCTTCTGTTAAACGTAATTTTATTTCATAGGTCTGTCCGTCCATATATATATATATATATATATATATATATATATATATATATATATATATATAAAATTGTATAAGATAGCTCATACAGGTTGCAGACTACAGCTCCCGGGCCCGTTTTCCTCAACACGAATTTCTCGCATGCGTTGTAGTACACTTCAACAGAAGCAAGATGTAACATTTGAACTCACAATGACCCCAAATCCGTTTTTCCCTCTTGCTGGCTTGGGAGGGGAGGGGGGGGGACTACGACGTCGACAAATCTCGACAAGCTCATAGCAATGGTTTTTCTATAACGTATGCTATACGCCTACACTGTTCACATATAAACCAAAGTGAACTCAGAGTGACCCTGGCTACACCGTGTCGGTATTTCTCTTGCGCTGAACAGAAATCGCGAGCGGGCGATCAATGGAGCAACGATGTTTTTATAATTAACGTGTTTAAAAACCTAAATCTAGAAAAAAAAATCTAGTTTTTAATAAAAAAAAGACTCTTAAACCAAACAACTCAAAGGGAATGTTAAATTTAGATATATACACTTTACTTCACACAAAATAGAGAACTTTGAAAGGTTCTGATCCCGTAACTGATCGAGATTCGGGAGGTACTGCTTTCTCCACTCGACCACGACGTCTTACGATAATTGATAAGTTATTAATGATTTTCTATATACAGCTAAATATAGGGTATTTAGAATTAGCATCACAAGAACTAACGCTAGATAATCCGCATAACTAATTACAATAAAAGACAACAAAATACGAGCAAATCCACAAGAAAAATCAAATAAACATAAAAGATGTAATTTTAATACAGGTTGTACAAGTGCTAAACGAACTTAATGCCGGGTCCCAATAGCGGCCGAGGCTATTAGGACCCGGTTCCCAATAGCGGCCGTAGCTATTGGGACCCGGGTCCTAATAGCCACTTCCTTAAAAAATAGGGTTAGACGTATGGACCAGTAACCTATCACCCCTTTTTAAGAAGATTCTATTATTGTACCATTATCAGACATGGAATAAGAAATCCACCTAAATTAGGGTAAGGTATGCGACTATGGAAGGACAAGGATGCACAATGGAGAGAAACTACGACTTGCCATCTCTTTCCCTAATCCTATCCCTAATCCTATCCCTAACCCTCATTCTAGCCCTAACCCTAACTAATACTAACTATAGGTCTCTGCGCATTCGCAGAGCTATCTTTTGCCGACTAAACCTAAGTGGAGACGTTGGGGAGAAAAATCTTCTTCCGAGTGCGAGTAGTCACTTCGTTATTAAATAATAATAGATCTAGAATCTAGATCTAGTAACTATTATTAATTTATTAACATTATGTTAGCTACAATCCCCCGGTTTTTTTTAAAGTTCGATCTAGATCTACATCTAGATTAGATCGAACTAACTAAAACTAGATCTAGATCTAGAACAGTTGAAAATGCGACTTACTTTGAAACCCTTTTTTAAAAAAACAAAATAGTACTTTCTCTAGTGATTATCTTTGTTAATTGTTCTGTTGCTTTCAATAAATTAAAAATGTATTGGTACATTAGGCCTAAATTAGACTCTTAAAATGTCTTATTGTAAATAGTAACTCTAGAGTACTCTAAATATATAATTTATCGAAATTTCCCATAATTTACTTTCTTTAAATTTACTTTGTTTTAAATTCACAAAGCATGCTTGAAAAAAATTAAATTAATGAACGTATAAAAATCCTCAGGATCCCATTCCTAAATTTATACTAACTCATCCGAGTTTTTATCATACATCGCCATTTTATTGTTTACAAACGTGAAATGTGCGTTTAAATGAATTTTTTAAAACAAGATTTATTACATCTAGATCTACTAATTTAGGCAACTTGAAGTGAAATTGTTTCTAGAATTAGTTCTAGTATCAAGTCCCTAAAATGGCAGACGCCACTGCTCGCTCGCTTCAGTATGAATACAAAGCGGTAAGCATCATCATTCCTTGACTCGATGTTTTTTTCAATTTTGTTTCAATTTTTAGGTAGCCGGCGAAGAAAGGAGTCGAGACTTTTTACAAAATTATCAAAATTACAGCCATATTTATTTACAAAACAGTATCAATAATCCACTTTTCAATAGTAAACAAAGTCTAGAGTAAAGTGGTCTGCGGACAGTTGCCTCTGTGACGTCTGTGTGGACACCTTACTCGCCTTACTGGTTTTCGCTTAAACTTTAAACAATAATTGTATGAATGTTTTATACGAAACTAACGCAAACAACACAAAGCATGTCCATTTTTAAACACATCTGAGTGAATTTCTTCTATTTCACTCAATAGTGAGTCAATAGTAGTATTTCTCGCTAACTTGGAGGCGTGGTCGGTTGCTAACAACAATATGGCGCCCGGACCGGACGTTTGATTTCCGGTGATTTTTCGGCCAAATTCCAGAGACCTTCAACTAATTACATTTAAAAATGTTTACCACGCGCAAAATGGCGGGATTTCCGTGTCATAACAACAAACAATAGGTGGCAGGGTTAGATAAGCCAGAAAAGCATCTTAAAATTTGGTTTGGAGACCGGAGGCTAAATTCAAAAGTTCGTTTCATTAAAATTAATAGAATTTGAAAAATATCAACTATATAGGTACAAAAATGATCATATAAGTAAAGCATTATTAGGTCTATCAGTCTATGTAAAAAGAAAGCAAATATTGTTGGCACTTTTTTTATAAGATCGGCTCTCATATCACAACCAATTTATTTTTATTTTTTAAAAACCACGTGACCGCTATTTGAGATCACTAGTGAGGAACTCTGGGTGCATGGCCACTTAAAAAGTCTAACCTGATTTGTGGTTTTCTTAAGCATCAAGGGTTAGAAGAGTTGTCATGGAGAGATGTGTTGGCCATGGCAGTGAGTGTCAATAAATATTAAATTAAGTAATTTAGTTTAAAATGAACTAAAAACTTCAAAATTAGTGCCTAATGGATTAAATATGGATGTCTATTATTCAGTGGTCATGTTTATATTGAAAATTGCGTAAATTTTAGATTTAGTAAGAAAAACTAATCAATAGGGTAGGCCGGTTCGTCACTTAGATGGCTGGATTGACCTCTGACCCTGAAACGTCACGCGTCGTTTTCTGACGGTTTCTACGTTTATTTTAGGGGTCCTATCCACGACAAATTAAAGAACTGTTTATCTCGCCAGCTCTGATCATTATTTTAACACAAAATGCTAATAAAATGGATAATATGCCTTAGAATGCCAGAAAAAATCGCGAGAATTGTGTTTGTAAATAATGAGAGGATTTCTAGTGGAGCACTCTCCGTAAAAACTGAACCGCGGCCAAAAACGACCCAATAACGGGGAAAACGGCTCCGATAACACTAAATTAATATATAATTGAGATAATTACCATGTATATTTACAGTATTATCGATTCTACTTTCCAAAATCTAATTCCAAAATGAGGTACCCACCCTGACATTTCTATCCGCTATTTTTAGTATCATGACGTCATTGCTACGCTAGTTGCCAGACTGAAACAACTAGTTTTTGTTTTTTACGGAATGAACTGTTAAGTCTAGTATTTTAATTATTATTAAATATTATTCAATTGTAGCATGTGCGGAAAAAGTAAAATTATGGACATTATTATTGTATTAGTAATTTTATTAGTATATTGATTTTTTCTTCACTGTGGGCCGACCGTTGCTGCATTCGTGACCGGTGGTTAACCTCGTCAACGCCGCGTGGCCTATTCGTTTATATAATCAGTGATGCTCGTTCAGTGGCCTTTTTCAGCGCTAGGCCTAATTACGGGCGATTTTTAGACTTAATTGATTGGCCGTTAGCCTTTTTCATTGCTGCGTATTTTAAAAAATGCTCGTTCAGCGGCCTTTTTTTTTTGGCGCTAAATAATCTGTTTACGGGCATTTTAAGCGTTTATTTATTTATTTTTTTAAGCTAGACGTAGATCTAGTTAAAAAAAAAAATATTTTTTCTATACAGCTGGCTGATATGCGAACTTTAAAAAAAACGACCGAGCTTTAAAAAAAAAATGACCAGAAGGGAAATAGGTCTGTTTTTCAATTAGCTTGAAGAAGGGTGGGGGGGGGGGGGAAGAGAGAGAGAGAAGTGAAGACACCGACCATCTCGTCTGCGCGTGTTCATTCTATGACGTGTACTATAGGCCTGCTGAAGTCACGGTGACCCCGTGACCGTGGTGGGATTTTTCATCCATGGGATAGTAAACGTAAGCAAGCAATCACGCGAGTGACGATGTTTGGAGATTTTATTTTAAAAAAAAATCACATACGTCATGCTTTCAAGATGAAAAAAAAAGTAATGTAAAAAAAAAAAATACACTAATACCATGTATGAACCTCAGCTGCCACACTGTTAATTTATAAACTATCATAACTATTACTATCATATCATTTTAAGCATATTTATTAGGCCTATTTAAAATTAGAAAATTAGAATTTGAAATAAAAATATTTATTATGGTCATTTGATTTATGCAGGTGTTCATTATTTCATAAAATGGTATGAATAACATGTAAAGTAGAACTTAATAAATAATAAAATAACTAGATCTAGTTTCATTATCAACCAGTTGCTTTTTGTTATTTTCCGGTGAGTAAATTACCTAAGCTGACGCAATTACCATGGCGGGAATTAAAAGCTCGTGCACACAAGTCCACGGCGTAATGTTATGCCGGTCGAGGAGTAAGAATGCTGTTTCCTCGTTCATTTTCCATTTTAAGATAATTTTTAAATTCTTTTTTTTCTTGTCAACCGAGTAAGCTAGATATTTAAATGTGGTGTCAAATGTTCTCTTAAGGGGTAAGGAAGTTAATGGTGTTTTTAAAATAACAGAATATTTTATTTTAAAAAATCCATAATTCAACCTACAATAGGGAGATTAGGCCCTAATTGGAATTTTTCAAAGTTGCGATGTATGACGTTTTATGTAGGGAACCTCACCCGGATGAAGAGCACTAGTCCCCGGATTAGAGGAATAAATCGAACCAATCATAGCTTAGTTAACTGGGTTAACTATAAATAGCTTATATATATATAGAAAGCTATAAATATCATAGTTAAGGTTGTTTAAGCCATCTTAGAGGAAAAATTGAGGTGTCCGCATAAGGGATATACCTTTTTTTGAGGGTTAACCTTTTGCGGACACTAATGAAAAATCAGAGTATATTTCTTACACTTTAAGTAAAAAGGAGCTTTGAACTAATCTTGATACTCCAGATTTATATTTAAATTTAAGTCTAAATCTAGATCTATAAGTTTTTAGTAATGTTTTTAGGTTTTAAAAATATTTTTGATCATCAAACGTGTCTACTAAGCAAAAAGTGAAATAAAATCTCAACTGGGTCCTGAGTTTCTTTCAGGCATCACTTTAATTTAATTAAAACTTATTTCATATTTCTTCATATATTTTGTTTTCCAATATATTAATATATAAAACTATCAACAACACTATTTATGGATGTAACATGTTTATTTCAATCATTTAAATAGAAACAAAATGAACAAAATATGCCTTGTCCGCATAAGGAGCAACTGTGCGCACAGAAGATAAAATGTAAAAAAAGTGCACTTAGTGTCCGCACAGAGTCTCACCACTGAAAATGTCAATACATTCAATGCTATGCGTATGAATACAAAATGAATCAGACATGATTAAACTAGAAAGAATGCGGAGTAAGACGGTACTTTCGGTTTGTTTCTATGTGAAACGGTTACTGAATGGCGCTCAATGGAAATCGGCTCTTCCGATTTTTTTGCTACGTCTGTCCGCAGACGCCACTTTACTCTAGATATCTAGACTAGAGTAACTCTGCCTGTCCAGACTACGCACGGCACAGTTAATAACACCACCATATCTGTCACTTTGAATAGTAAATTGCGCTGTTATTTGGATGTTTCATACAGAAAAATAGAATTTGGGAGTAAATATGTCCATTCATGCCAAATTTTGATCAATTGAATTACCCACAGTGGGATATGAGCAATTGAAAGCAACCTGCCATGTAGGTAGCCATTTTTGTGTCCCCAGGACGAACAAAGCCTCGTTCCGATGAGCGTCTTTTTAAAATTGTTTAGTTTTTTTTTAGTAAAAATTAATTGAATAGGATAGGTCAAAGAACAAATATGTTCATAAAATATGCTGTTTTCTTTAGGCTATGTCTACTAAATATATTTTTTTTGGTGGTAGTTGTGAGAAGGCTGACAATTTTCAAGTTTTACCTAGATCTAGTTCTAGTGGAGAACACCTATAGTAAACCATATTACTATAATAATTAAAGCATTTTCTCGGGAAGAGTTATCTCATTTTTTTCATAGCTATAAATTTTATTATTTTTGGCATCTTAAAAAAATTACGTACTGAAGCACAAAATTACTCACACAAAATGTTATAGGCTAATACAAGATTATTTATTTAACTGGGCTAAAAAAAAAAACAGCAAAAATATACGATCGTAAGGAGGAAAGACTGATAGCGAGGAAGCAAAACTGACAAAAATTCTTTTTTGGACAGGAGAGTATTTCTATGCTTTGTTTTCATTCTGTCTCAAATAGAAACTAAATTAAGTGTCTCGAACCAGAAAAAAGTCTCCTAAGGGTGTTCTGACTGGTAAAGTTACTTGAGACATTTACAATAGTAAATACATTTTACTAGATTTTTAGATCTACCTTTTACTTTTGTAATAAGCTACTTGTGACCTCCATAACAATTGGAGGTTTGGTTTTAATTTACTTTAATATAACAATAAAGGCCTAAAGTAAAAAATTTTAATTGACCACAAATCTTTATAGGCTGAAAAAACTAAACAGGTTTGGTCTTTTTTGTGGACATCACAGTCTAGAAAAAGTCTGGAAAATTGCTAGTTTTTTTTGGCTGGATTTTTTTTTACAAGTCTGGAATCTATTTTTAGAAACAAGACTTCTATTAAGTCCATATTTTTTTACTAACAAAAAGTTTATTCTTTAGTGAATTTACTCCAGTTTTTTCCCCTGCATGAACATCTCCCAGGTCTATGCTGTGTTATGACATTTTATTCTGGATCACAGATTACTACTGGAGATTTGGGGAGGAGATTGTTAGACCTCAGTCTTTTTTTTTTATTGTTCATGAATGACTGCGTGCATATATTACGAGTATTTAAAATTGATATTCAATGAAAGAATGATCGCCCATAGAAATGTTGACCTTGTGATTTTACCAGCTATTTTTCATTAAGTTTCTCTGAGGTTGTAGGCTGGCAGTCGTTATAAAAAAATATGAGGGAACAATGTGAGTGATAGTCTAGGAATAATGTATCCCTCTTTATTTTTAATTCGCCTTCCATCAAACTGTTTTTGAAATCTTTACAAATCCTGAGGATTAAGGCTAGACTAACCCACCTCTCCTTTTAACTAAGGTCACTGATGTCTAAACTTGTGTGAGCTCACCGTGACCCAAGTATATATTTGGTACTGCTTGGCTAGTAGGAAGTCACAGTTCGTGCTATGACCTATTAGACAGGCTTACTGATGTCTAGACTACTGTGACCTCACAGTGACTCCTCCACCATGTCTTGTGGGGGGGGGGGGGGGGGGGGTACTGGCAATTTTTAATTGCAATCATAGGTTTCTCAGCTATAAGAATAAATAATAAAACAGTTACAGCCTGCAGAAAGTTTTTTTGTTCCAATTTTGTTCTTTTTATTCTTTTTTTTTTATTATATCTAATTGAGGACTATTATTTTAGTAATAGTTAAATTGAAAACACAATAAAATTAGATAATGAACATATTACAAAAGCTCAGTGTTGGAAACAAAATAATTTCATCATGCTAATCAATTATTTTAATAATTTTAATTTGTGGGGAGTGTGAGTATCCAACCTTAGAAAAGTTTTTCTGTCAATTTGGCTAGAGAAAGTTCAATATAAACATTACCTCAATTACCTAAAATAAAGCCATTATCTATAATTATAATGAGAGTACATATGTTGCATAATTTTATAAATGAGTTGCTTAAACATCTGTATAAAGTCAAGAATTTTTTTTTTAAAAGTCTGGAATTTCATTTTTAAAAAGTACGTAGAGCATCACCCGTATTAGCATTATTTTTCTCTATAGTGGCCTCTTTCTCTTGGAAGTATCCACTTGCCTAGTGATGAGTTTGTTTAATTGTTAAGCTTGATTTTTGTCTTTTTTTTAGAACTCCAATCTTGTCTTGAGTGTAGACAGAACTTTAATTGACAGAAGAGCCAGGGATGAAGCAACTGGTGAAGTTATGTCCCTTGTTGGGAAACTCACTGGGACACGCATGGGTGACAAAGCACTAAAAAGCAAACCTCCAATGATGGAAGAGCGTAAAATAAAGTAACATACTTATTGGATAAATATAAACCACCTGTACCCTATGTATAGACGTGTTTCATTTAAGCTTAGAAATGGAAATAAGTGGGCTTATGTTTATTCTACAGTTAAAAATAATTGTTCTTTTTTTTAGACGACGAAAAAGAGATGAAGCTCAACATGACATGGTTAAAATGAAAGGAACCACTTTATTGTCTGAGGGTATTGATGAAATGGTTGGCATTCTGTATAGACCAAAAACAACAGAGACACGACAGACTTATGAAGTATTGCTAAATTTTATCCAGGCTGCCTTGGGAGATCAGGTAAGTATTTTTATAAATCCATAGAGTAAAAACTTCACTTTTTTTACATGTCCACAAGTAACTGTTGAAATTTGGTTTAGCCCAGAGATGTGCTTTGTGGAGCTGCTGATGAGGTTCTTATAGTTCTGAAAAATGAGAGGATGAAAGACAAAGACAAAAAGAAAGAAGTTGAAAGCCTTTTAGGTGACCTGGCTGATGAAAGATTTGCTTTACTTGTTAACCTTGGCAAAAAAATTACAGACTGGAGTCAAGAAGAGAAAACACAAACAAGTAGGGGTTGTTTTTTTTTAAGCAAGTTGGTCATTTTCAGTGTGGAAGCTGAATATTTTTGTCCAAAAATGGGTACTATAACAAGAAGTTTTATTTGTAAAGAAGTTATTTTTAATGTTAACATTTATATTATGTGAATATTATTTAATGAATTGTAGGTGAAACTATAGACTTTGATGAGACCTATGGTGTAAATGTACAGTTTGAAGAGTCAGATGATGATGTAAGTAACTGGTATATTTGACCTTCATTGTTGCTACTTGTATACATAAGTACTTTAATAAAACACACATAAGATAGTCCCAATAATTGCAAAAATGTCCTTTTTGATATACTTTACAGTTTATGCGTGACTTCAGTAAGTAAGATGATTTTTTTAAAATTTAGGACACTGCTGATGTTTATGGAGAAGTACAGGAAGAAGGTGAAGCAGATGATGACAATGAAGGAGAAGAGGCAACTTTTGATGCTACGCTACATGCAAATGTAAATTTATGGCCTAATATGTAGAGCCATTTAATAAATAGGAATAAATGTGTTAGATATCACAAAACTTAAATTTGGTCATGTTGTATCTGTTGTTTTAATAATGTGTTCCAGAGTAGAATTTACCTTTTGTTCACATTTTAATAGTTTTTTTTTTTTTTATTTGAAAATAAATAGCTGTCAGAAGAAGACAAAAACAAGAAGGATAGAGGATTACATCCACGTGAAATTGATGCGTTCTGGATCCAGAGAAAAATCAGCAAATTTTATCCAGATGACCCCAACATGGCTCAAAGTAAAGCTAATGAAGTTCTTGAGATTTTGAAGGTAGGTATTGTTGTAATGTCATATGCTAGTAGAAAATAGGGAGGGTTTCAATTTCTATAGAAATGAAGTCTATCTGCTCCTGCTTTGTAAATTTGTTATAATTTGTTTTTAAATCACACAGGCTGCTGGAGATGACAGAGAAGCTGAAACCAAACTAGTTTTACTTTTGGATGTTTCTCATTTTGAGTTCATTAAAATCTTACGGCAACATCGACAAATGAGTAGGTTTTTATATTTTTTCAAAATTCAGTTACTGATTCTTAGAATTAGGAAATAAATTAGTCTAGGCTGCAAGGTATCTTAAAATTATTACATTAAGGTAGTACAAATTGTGGCTCACTATAAGTATAGGATTAGACAGTTTGCGTATGGACATGTCTGTGAACATAGTTCCATTATTATTATCTTTGATTTTTTTGTTAGATCAAAGTATTTGGTAGGATTTATAAAAACTAAATGTTTGCTTTTGTTACAGTTTTATATTGCACCCTCTTGGCTCAAGCACAGACAGCCTCAGAGAAAAAGAAAATTGAACAAAAAATGTCTTCTGATCAAGAGTTATCACTTATTTTAAAATCTCTGAAAGCCACTGATCAAGATGATATTGTTAGTGAGGAAAGAGCTAGAAGACAGCAAGCAAGACAGTCAAGAGTTGCAGCTGACATTGAAGCTATTGATGTTGATGATGAAGAGGTTTATATCTTTTATTTATTTGCAGCTAACTTTGTTAATTTGCTTAATTAGAAAAACACATTTGACTTTTCATTATGTTTGTTATTTAGGAGGTTGGACCAGTACAAACTCTATACTTGGATGATTTAGTGTTTACTCAAGGCAGTCATTTGATGGCCAACAAAAGGTGTCAGTTGCCAGATGGGTCTTATAGGAAACAAAGAAAAGGTGAAAAATGTTACTATATGTATACTTTTGCCAGTTAGCTGAAAATATAAGTGTCAGACCTATAGTAATGAAAATTATGTTGCCATTTTCAGAGACCTGTTTTTTTTTAAAAAAAAAACATTAAAAATTGTTGAAAGAGCAAGTTTAATAATTTCTCTAAGTAATTAAATATTTATAACTAATTTACCTGCTTTTGCTTTGTCTGAGTGTATTTTAATATTTTATGTGCAGGTTATGAAGAGGTTCATGTACCAGCATTAAAGCCAAAGCCTTTTGATAATGAGGAGGTAAAATTTCATTCATACATTTAAGATTAAGACAAATGTATGGACACAATGTACAGGGCTGCCTACTTGTACGGTTTTGCCCGTAACTTTACGATTTTGACACCCAGGTTACGGAATTACGATTATGCTGCAAAATTACGGTTTTGATTTCAGTAGAGATCAAAATCGACTTTAGTGTAAAAAAAAAATTCTGGTGGTAACTTAACTTTATGTTCCCGGTCTGAGTTTTATATTTTAATTTAGCTAGTTATATTTCAGTGTGTTATCCGGTTCTAAGGTTCTCAGCCTCTTCCGTAACAATCCTCCCTCCCCCTTCCCTTCCCGCTCTTGTCATGGCTGGCGGCAGTCGTGTTTATATTGTGAACTATTGACCCCGCGAGTGTAATGTGTTACCTTATGAGCCGGTGTTGTCCGTAGAGAAAAAAAAAGGGCGTGGCCTAAATCATTGAAAGTCTGGTCGCGCAGTCTGGCGAGACATATTTGCTGAGGCGGTATTACGGCTAAATGCCTAAATAGCGAGATATCGAGGCATTTTGTTTGAGATGTGCGAGAAGACAAGATTTTACTAAACAACGAGATCTAGGCTCACCTAGATCAATTACGGATCATATTTTTAAAATTGTTCTTTTCTTCTAGATATTACATTGATAAAATGTAGATTAAAAAAAAATATTCAAGAAATATGCTAATTCTAAACATCGTCACCCGTCGGCCGCTTACGTTTTCTTGTTCGCGGGAGAAAAAATCCTGACACACACACAGTCGAGGGGTCACTGAGTTCACATTGGTTTAGATATCCGTAGTGTTGGCCTATTTCATACGTCATACTACTCATTGCAAGAACAATTCCTATGTGAAATTTTCCATTGTCGCCTTACATTCTGAATTTAACGGCGTTTTTTTTTTTAAAACTAATTATTAGTCCATAAAATAAAAAGTAGCACGAGTCGCCGACTGTCATCATTACGCTGATGAGCTTTACGATCATATAATATGGGTCTTATTTACATTGTATTTAAAAAATGTGTAAAAATACGGAAAGTTACGGAAAGTTACAGAAAACCTATGCTCTTGTTACGGGGAAAATTTTTTTGGGGTAGGCAGCCCTGAATGTACCAAACTCCACAAGTTATCAGTTAATCTCTTAACAGATTTAACTAATGTTCTATTGACAGTTATTTATACAAATTTCTTTTAGCTGATATTTAAGAATTATCTTTATTGCTATGTTCCTATTGATGAATTTTTCAATGTTCATGTAGAACCTGGTGCCTGTTGACCGATTGCCCAAGTATGCCCAGGCAGCATTTGAAGGGTTTAAAAGCTTAAATAGAATCCAAAGTCGTCTACATCGTGCTGCTCTAGAGAGTGATCAAAACCTTCTACTGTGTGCCCCAACAGTGAGTTATCGTGTTCATATCTTTAGTTTAAATAGTTTGGTAGCACCACGGATTGTTACTGGTAATTTTTTAAAAATCTTACCACTTTATGTTAATGTCCCCCACAGGGAGCAGGTAAAACTAATGTTGCATTGCTCACAATAATGAGAGAGGTTGGAAAACATGTAAATGCTGATGGTACTATTAATGCTGATGATTTTAAAATCATCTACATTGCACCAATGAAATCCTTGGCCCAGGAAATGGTTGGCAACTTTACTGAGGTATTTGAAAACAAAAATTCTCATCTTATTTTAGCTAACTGAAATGTATTAGCAAGTAATAATTCCTTGTTTAATAATATTAATCATAATAAATTATAATAATAATTTTTTTGAGAAAAAAAATTTACTCTCTGCTATGTTTAACAACTCTGGTAAAATGTTTAAAATGATCTAAAACATCTATCATTGTAGAGATTATCCTCATACAACCTGAAAGTTCAGGAGTTAACAGGAGACCACCAGCTTACTAGAGAACAGATAGCTGCCACTCAGGTCATTGTCTGTACCCCAGAAAAGTGGGATATCATCACCAGGAAAGGAGGAGAAAAAACATACACACAATTTGTTAAACTTGTTATCTTTGTAAGTCATGGCTTATAACATTTTAGTTAGCACATTTTCAAATCAACTTTTACCTCTTTTGTTAGTGCTTATGAAGTACTTCAAAAGCAGTCTTTTTTCTTGTTGTTTATATTTTAAATTTGTATTATGGTTTAACAGGATGAAATTCATCTCCTTCATGATGACAGAGGTCCAGTTTTAGAATCCTTAGTTGCAAGGTAAGAGTTTGTTATGGTTAGTGACAGTTTAAAAACTGACTTTTAAAAACTGTTTACATTGATTAATGATGTGTAACCTTTGACAGAACCATCCGTACTATTGAAACAACTCAAGAAGACATAAGATTGATTGGACTCAGTGCCACACTTCCCAACTATGAGGATGTTGCTGCTTTTTTGCGTGTTGATCCACGAGAAGGACTCTTCTTCTTTGATAACAGTTTCCGTCCAGTCCCTCTAGAACAACAGTTTATTGGCATCACTGAAAAGAAAGCAATAAAAAGATTTCAATTAATGAATGATATTGTGTATGAGAAGGTCATAGAGCATGCCGGCAAGAATCAGGTAAATTATTTTGTTCACTTGCAGCATTAGACTGGTTAATACCTTACATATAGCCTTTATTATTCTGTTTATTTAGTTGGTCATGCCCCCTATAACAGTAAACTATTTTTACCAAGCTAAAACTTTATTCTTCAATTCTTTTTTCAAAAATTTGTTTTTATTTTTGTCTTTCCTTCGAAAAAATTTCGAAAGGCAAGATCATCATTGATTAAATTTTATTTATGATATACGTAGGTCTTAATATTTGTGCACTCAAGAAAAGAGACAGGAAAGACAGCCAGAACAATAAGAGATATGTGTCTTGAAAAGGACACGCTAGGACTTTTCATGAAGGAAGGATCTGCCTCTACTGTTGTGCTTAGGCAAGAAGCTGAGCAGGTTAAGGTACATGAAAATCTTTACAGCACTTATTTTCCACTAACCTTTCCAATGTTTAAAATTGTACTTTAAGTAAGAACTCATTTTTTAAATTAGTATTTTTTTTTTATATATGTACTTTTTTTTTCTTTTAGAGCTCAGAGCTAAAAGACTTACTGCCTTATGGCTTTGCTATTCACCATGCAGGAATGAACAAGTATGTAAATTATTTCAGATTACACCGATTGCCACATTGAACTAGGCATAATTATGAATTTTAATATTTAAACAACTAAAAGCTGCATTTCTGTTAGACTTATTAATATTTAGCTCTTGTAAATGTAATCTATATATATTTTAAGAAAATAATAATTAGATATACATGTATTTGTAAAGGTCTGTTTAAACTTTATAAAATGTTACAGAGTTGATCGTAAGCTGGTAGAGGATTTGTTTAGTGATCGACATATTCAGGTTCTTATTTCCACCTCAACCTTAGCCTGGGGTGTGAATTTACCTGCTCATACTGTTATTATCAAAGGAACTCAAATCTACAGTCCTGAAAAGGGCAGATGGGTGGAGCTAAGTGCTTTGGATGTGCTACAGGTAAGGATTTTTACACTTTCAAAGTTGGCATTGTTTTATATGCAGATTTAATAAGGTTTGTGTTGTTTTTTTTTAACTTAAAATAAATTGCTCTAAATTTATGTTCCTGGGACAGTGTTTTCGTTGTTTTCTTTTTCAATTATTCTAATTATAAGTATTGACTGCTGTCATTTTAAAACTTGCTAAAACATTTCAGATGCTTGGTAGAGCAGGACGTCCACAGTATGATACAAAAGGTGAAGGAATTATGATCACAAACCACAGTGAACTTCAGTACTATTTGTCATTGATGAACCAACAGGTAACATGAATTCAAATAAACTAATACTTTATATTTATTCCCCCCTGGTACCACAATTTTTATGGTTATTATAAAATTTTACAGCTACCTATAGAGAGCCAGTTTATTGGGAAAATGGCTGACAACTTAAATGCTGAAGTTGTTCTTGGAACTATCCATAACATCAAAGAAGCTGTGGATTGGTTAGGTGAGAAATAAATCTTAACTTGCTTAATATCTGAATACCTGTTATGAAGTTATTCCTACTTTTTTGTATATAAAATAAATGCTCTTGAAATAAAATAAAAACATTAAAAAATTTCAGGATACACCTATCTTTACATTCGAATGTTGCGCAATCCAACTCTTTATGGAATATCTCATGATGCTCTAAAAGAAGATCCACTGTTGCAGCAAAGAAGAAAGGATCTTGTTCACACAGCTGCTTGTGTGTTAGACAAAAATGGCTTGCTGAAATATGATCGCAAATCAGGAAACCTTCAGGTAATATCTAATATTAGATAAAAATCAAGTATTATTTAGTCTATATTATTTTTATAATTAGCCATTTTTACACATTCTAGTTTGAAGATGTTGTTCTTTAAATCTTAAGGTAACTGAACTAGGGCGGATTGCTAGTCATTACTACATCACTAATGAGAGTATGGCAACTTACAACCAACTGTTGAAACCAACACTTAGTGAAATAGAATTGTTTAGAGTGTTTTCCCTTTCTGCTGAGTTCAAATATCTCACAGTTAGAGAGGTAAGATTAATTATTTACACTAGTTATTCATTAGTAATTTTAATAATTAATTGTTTACTTTATTATAATCTGATCTAAACCTAAAGAGTTTTATCTTCATATTCTTTTCAATTTAATATTTTTGTTCAGGAGGAAAAACTTGAACTTATGAAGCTTTTGGAAAGAGTACCTATTCCAATTAAGGAGAGCATTGAAGAACCAAGTGCTAAGGTTTGTTATCACTATCTTTTTTTAAAAATAGCATTGAATATAAATTAAGAAAAAAAATATTTGAAATTGCTTGAAGACTTATCTGGTGATAAATAATTTTTAAATAGTTACCCAGATTTGATTTGTGGCATTTGATCAAAGTTAACCAGCTTTGTACTAAATGTGTCTTGCAAATTATATGTCCACAAAGAACTTAATCATTTCTTCTAACCATCATCCTGACAGGACCATTTATTTTTTAACCATGAAATAGTTCAACTTGTCTTTTATTTAATTTTCAGGTGAATGTTTTGCTGCAAGCCTATATTTCACAGCTAAAGTTGGAAGGATTTGCTTTGATGGTTGACATGGTGTTCATCACACAGTCAGCTGGGCGTTTGATGAGGGCTCTGTTTGAAATCTGTTTGCACCATGGTTGGGCACAGCTAGTGGACAAAGCTCTTGCTCTTTGTAAAATGGTGGATAAAAGAATGTTAGTGCTTTACATTTTCTTTCTTTAGTTTGTAAATTTGTCTATACTAATTATATTTTCTATGTAATATCTTGAAACATTTATATATTTTTATGAATTTTTAGGTGGCAGTCAATGACTCCATTGAGACAGTTTAGAAAAATTCCTGAACAAGTAATCAAGAAAATTGAGAAGAAGAATTTTCCTTTTGAAAGACTTTATGACTTGAACCATAATGAAATAGGAGAACTGCTAAGGCTGCCTAAAATGGGAAAAGTAAGATATTTTTTGTAACTTTGTGTTCTGACATTTCTTAATTAATAATCTATGCCACAACAGTGAATTTTACAAAATAAAAATGCTATAATTTTTAAAAATATCTGTTATTCTTGTATTTAGCCAATTCACAAGTACATCCGCCAGTTTCCTCGCCTGGAACTCTCAGTACACATTCAGCCAATCACAAGGTCAACACTGAAAGTTGAATTAACCATAACACCAGATTTTCAGTGGGAGGAAAAATTACATGGACATTCTGAGGTTTGGATCTATTTTTACGTATCATTAAATATTTTCATTTAATTATTAAAACTCATGATGCGTACTTATGATGAATAAAGCTAACCAATAACTTTGCTAGGAATATGCAAGTTGTAGCAGGAAAGTTAAATGGTTATATTAGGTATATTCGATTATAAATCTCTCAATTCAGAGAGAAAAGTTGTAATCGATTCGACATAAGTTTCAATTTAAAAATATTCATGTTATGAATTGTTTGGTTACATTTATAACTTAACTTGTCTAATCATTTTAGTTTGAAAAGAAATTTGTTCAATTAAGATTGTATCTTCATATTAATTTTTGCAGGCATTTTGGATTCTTGTTGAAGATGTTGATAGTGAGGCTATATTGCATCATGAGTACTTCCTTTTGAAAAGGTAGGTTTTGATAGTTGCTTGTTGCAATTTTAGAAAATATTCCATTCACCATTTTATTTTTGAAAATGTTACGCGTTGACAAGGTTGTTTAAAATTATTTTTTTTTGTGTTCATAGCAAATTTGCAACTGATGAACATGTTGTCAAGTTTTTTGTGCCAGTATTTGAGCCTTTACCTCCACAGTACTTCATTAGAGTGGTATCTGACAGGTGGATAGGTAATGTTCATTATGCTCATTTTTGTCTCTTCATTAATTATTTTGGTATTAAATGTAAAAAAACTATTAAATTTACAAGGTTTTAAAGATTCTAATATCAAATATTACAAGTTAATTTCACTAAATCTGTAAACACTTGCTGTTTTAGGTGCAGAAACACAGCTTCCAGTATCCTTCCGTCACTTGATTCTCCCTGAGCGATACCCACCACCTACAGAACTGTTGGACTTGCAGCCACTGCCAATTACTGCTTTGAGAAACCCAAAGTTTGAAATGCTGTACAGCAAAAAGTTTCCAATCTTCAATCCTATTCAAACTCAAGGTATATTTTCAGTAAACTAATTTTTGTTTTTAAAACTAAAGCAAAAACTATATTTTAACATCTTATTTAGTTTGTTCATTACATAACAAATACAGTTGTATTTACATTTATTTGGCAGTGTTCAATGCCATCTACAACAGTGACGACAATGTGTTTGTTGGAGCCCCAACTGGTAGTGGTAAAACAATTTGTTGTGAATTTGCTGTCCTGCGAATGTTCTCTCAGAACCCTGAAGGAAGATGTGTTTATGTTGCACCATTGGATGCCTTGGCACAACAGGTTAATTTTTATTATGTTTGGGTTGTGATTTATTTTTCCTCTTCTGGGTACTAATTGTTTTGTTCCACAAGCTTAGAAGCCTTAACTGTTATAGTTGAAATTTTATTTTGTAGATATATGTTGATTGGCATAACAAATTTGCTGGCAGTCTTGGGAAAAAAGTTGTACTTCTTACAGGAGAAACTGGTACTGATTTGAAACTTCTTGCCAAGGTATTTTAAAATTTATTTTAGCTTTGTTAGTATGTTTAAGATTTAATACAAAAGTATTAAATTAATTTTGTAAGCATTTATATTAGTATTTTAACTTGTACATTAGAACTCGTCTTATTATTACCACAGAAAAGTTAACTGTTTATTAGTTCTATAAATGGTGATGTTTTGTCCTTCAGGGCAATATTGTGATCTCTACACCAGACAAATGGGATGTCTTGTCCAGAAGGTGGAAGCAGAGAAAGAATGTACAAAATGTGAATCTCTTTATCGTGGATGAGTTGCACCTCATTGGAGGAACAATGGGAGTAAGGATGGTTTTTTTATTACAAATTAAAGCATTTAATATTGTAATCATTTTTTTTAAATATATGATTTGAAAAATAATTCACATTAAGTTATTTGAGATATCTGAAGCTATGTTTGATTTCTGTTCTGTAGCTGGTTCTGGAAGTGATCTGTTCTCGTATGAGATACATATCCTCACAGCTGGAACGCAACATCAGAATTGTTGCCCTTAGCTCATCACTTTCTAATGCTAAAGACATTGCTCAGTGGCTTGGATGTCCTACGTCAGCCTTCTTCAACTTCCACCCCAATGTGAGACCTGTGCCTCTAGAACTTCACATTCAGGTACTCCTAAAATCTCATGTTATTGTATACTCTAAAGATTGTCTTTTATGTTTTTTAAACCAAATTTACAATAACATCTCTCTATTTCAGGGTTTCAATGTTTCTCACAATGCTTCCCGTATCATTGCCATGGCAAAACCTTCCTATCAAGCCATAGTTAGACATTCAGCCAAGAAACCAGTTATCATCTTTGTGCCCTCACGCAAGCAAACCAAACTGACTGCTATTGATATTTTAACCTGTGCAGCTGCTGAAATGCAAGTTGGCATTGATGAAAAGACTCGCAGCAGATTCCTTCATGTCCAAGAAGAAGATCTTGCTCCATTCCTAGAAAAAATTTCAGACCTGGTATGTGAAAATATAAGTCATTTTTTAAATTTGTAAATATGTTTTAAACTAATTTTTTCTTTAGACAGTTTTTTTCTGATTGTATTAAATTATTATTATTTTTTGTGTGTAGACTTTGAAAGAGACACTTGCAAATGGAGTAGGATATCTTCATGAAGGATTGTCTGAAACTGAGAGAAAAATTGTAGAGCAGTTGTTTAATTCTGGAGCTGTTCAAGTCTTAGTTGTTGCCAGAGGTCTAGCCTGGGGAATAAATGTATCAGCCCACCTTGTTATTGTAATGGACACTCAGTATTATGATGGAAAAATGCACTCGTAAGTAAAAGCTTTATTTCATCCATCTGGATATTTTAACCCAAAATTTAAAGCTTTTATTGACTGACTTACTAAGTATGTTCCTTATTCTTCAAGTTATGAGGATTATCCAGTAACAGATGTACTCCAGATGATGGGAAAGGCTAACAGGCCTCTAATTGATAAAGAAGGTAATTATTATACTTGAGAAAAGTTGACTATAAAGCTACTATGGTCTAGAGGGTTTTTTTAAATGTTAATTTATCCACACAGGCAAGGCTGTCATCATGTGTCAGAGCTCAAAGAAAGAATTTTTCAAGAAATTCTTGTATGAACCACTGCCAGTGGAGGTAAGGACAAATAATTTATGTTTACCATCATAAGGAGCTTGGTTTAACTGCATCTTAGATCTAAAATAGGACAGATAAGCAATTAGTAATGATGATTTACATTTTTTTTAGAGCCACCTTGATCATTGTCTTCATGACCACTTCAATGCTGAAATAGTAACAAAAACTATAGAAAATAAACAAGATGCTGTTGACTACTTGACCTGGACCTTCTTGTACAGACGTATGACACAGAACCCCAACTACTACAATTTACAAGGTTTGGCTTTATCATTTATGATTTATTTTCAGATATCAGTTTAAAAGTAGGAAATAAATCTAGGTTAAAATTATAAAGGGTTGTAAAGGTACTTTAGAGTTTATAAGCTAATTATCCCTGGGCATTCACCCAGTAACTCCTTTGTCATTTATAAATGTAACTTTTACTCCTAGGTGTGTCACATCGTCATTTATCTGACCATTTGTCAGAAATTGTTGAAAACACAATCAACAACTTAGAGCAGTCAAAGGTAAAAAAAAAATTGTCCAGGTTTTTGCAGTTTTAAATTAGTTATGCATATTTTGTTAAAACTTTTTAAAAACATTTTAAATGTTTTTTCAAATTAATTAACACATTTAATTTTGTGTTACAAGTGCATCAATGTGGAAGATGATTTTGATGTGTACCCTCTGAACTTGGGCATGATTGCTGCCTACTATTACATAAACTATACTACTATTGGTAAGCCATTTTATCTTTTAGTGAGCGTCTATTAAATGTTTTGTTATTTCAGATGAGCTTCTATTAAATGTTTTGTTATTCAGATGTTATGTCAAATATTTGAAAAAGAAAATAATTGGAAAGAATAACTTTTCTTAAACCTTGCAGCCTCAGGTGTTAACTTTTTCCATTTCTCTCCCTTTGTGCTGTATTACACACAATATCATTATTTAAATCTATTCCCTGGTAAATTGTTTTTAAACACAAAAACAAAGAATTCGGCAGAATGTTTATTTGAAAGAGAAATGGTAAAATGTACAGATTTTTACATTTTTTTGTGTATTAGTATTTTTGACAACATTAGTCTGTCACACCAGCTGAGACAGGTGAATGTAATAAAATATTTGTCATTGTTAATTAAGGCCGTAGCACATTTACTTTATCAATTTAGTACATCTTTATTCAATTCTACAATTACCTACATGTCATCAGTTGTTCTAAGGAAAAACACTATACAATTTTAACCCTATGAAATTTGTGTACATTTTAAATTAATCTTTGAAACTGTGGGAGTTGAGAGCAAAAAGTAGGTCAACATTGTTAGGGTTATATTGCTTTTGTCTTAAACTAATACATAATTTGGTTTGCTAAAAACTACTAAGATTTGTAGTTGCACCTAGCTAAAGTATTATACTTGTCAGATATGAAATGACATGTTCATTTTAACAGAACTGTTCAGTATGTCTCTTAACAACAAGACAAAGATCAAAGGTTTAATTGAAATTGTTGCCAATGCTGATGAATATGCAAACTTACCAATCAGACATGGAGAAGCTGCTATTTTAAAACAGGTGGGTACTAACATATTCAAAAATTAATTAGTTTTTAAAAAAATATAAAAAGGAGTGATTTTGATAAATGTTTATATTAGCCTTTGTTCTAGATTCTACTTTGTATTTTCACATTTTCCTTTTATTTGAATAGCTTGGGAGTCGTCTGCCAAACAAAGTTACCAATGCCAAGTTTAATGATCCTCATGTCAAGACTAATTTGCTCCTTCAAGCACATCTCTCTCGCATGCAGCTCTCAGCAGAACTCCAAAGTGACACAGAGGATATTCTAAATAAAGTGTGTGACTTGATCATTTTTTTAATTAAATTATTTCACTGATATTGTTTACATCATTTTCCACTGATATTATTTACATCCTTTTAGCTTATTCACTCAGTAAATCATAATATAATTTATTGGAGTTGAAATGTATTTTTTAAATAGGTGGTACTGTAAGCTTTAATATTTTAAAATGTAATAATTTTCGCTTACAACTAGTTTTTCATGTTTCTGGAATCTAATGTATTTCACTGTTTCAGGCTATTCGACTTATCCAAGCATGTGTGGATGTTCTCAGCAGCAATGGATGGTTAAGCCCTGCTTTGGCAGCTATGGAGTTGGCCCAGATGGTGACCCAAGCCATGTGGTCTAAAGATTCATCCCTCAAGCAGCTTCCTCATTTTACAGCAGACATTATCAAAAGATGTCAAGAAAAAGTAAGAAATATTTTCTAAATATTGAGTATACTCATAGATTAAGTACAAATTATATATGCTTCTTTCTCGTAGTAAAAGATAGAATTATAAATCAGAATATGTTTAGTTAACTCATTTCATAGATGTATGTCTAATATGAAGACACTCTTGTTTACTAATATTTTAATCAACAGAATTTGGAGTCTATCTTTGATATTATGGAGATGGAGGACAAAGACAGAAGTGACCTTTTACAGTTGACTGAATCTGAAATGGCTGATGTTGCCCGTTTCTGCAACAGATATCCAAATATTGAGTTAACTTATGAAGTTCTTGAAAAAGAAAATATTAGAAGGTAAGTTAGAAAATGATGCTTTAAAATTTAGCATCAACTATTTTTTATCTATTTGATAAAAGTTTTTTATTTCAATATAATTATTTATTAATTTGTAATATTTGTATTGAATGTAGTTTATTATAAAAATAATTGTGATGCCATTTTGAAAATTCCCTAACAGTTATCTGTAATTTGGTTATGTTATTTATGATATTCCAGTGGTTCAAACATAAATGTGACTGTAACTTTGGAACGAGAAGATGAGATCACAGGACCAGTTATTGCTCCCTTTTTCCCCCAAGTAAGCTCAACAACAATTTTTACTCTGTTTTTAATGAAAATGGCTTTTCTGTGGAAAAATAAAAATCTTTTTTTTTTTATAACGATTAATATGATAATTTACATTGTATTTCATAAAAATATATACCATATTCTATGTCTCTGGAAAATGTGCAATGACTGTAGAGTTTACAAAGGAAATTATTTTAATATACGATGAAATATATGTACAAAAACTCAAAGCATATTTTTTAAAGAAAATTGTAATCTCAAAATCATTTTTTTCCTTATAGAAACGTGAGGAAGGCTGGTGGGTTGTTATTGGTGACCCAAAGAACAACTCTCTTCTCTCTATTAAGAGATTAACTCTCCAGCAGAAGGCCAAAGTCAAGTTAGATTTCATGGCACCAGCTCATGGGCGCTATAATTATGTCATCTTCTTTATGAGTGACGCCTATATGGGCTGTGACCAAGAGTATAAGTTCAGTGTGGATGTGAAGGAGGGAGAGAGTGACAGTGAAAGTGATTAGTCGGCTTGTTAACTTGGAATCCATTCCTCACATCAAGATTATACCTGTAAACAACTTGTTTTTACATATATTTTTTTTGTCAATTTCAAGCTGTATAGTGTTGAGTTACTTAAACAGCCCATGTATTATTAGTTACAGTATGTTGGTAAAATATTTTTTTGTCCATTTCTGATGATACAATTGCATATTTTATTTTTGATCAAAAATATGTTGGTTGTAAGCTAGATTTTAAAAAATGTATTTAATTTTTGTTTGGTAAATTGAATTAGTATAAATAGTTTTTATTTTTACTGTAGAAACTTTGTTTCTAGTTTTTAAAGTGTACATATTTGTACATAATTTGTTAAATGTTAAACTGAATATTATGCTTATAGGCTTATTTGTCATCATATCAGCCCTTAAAAGGAAAACTTAGCTATTAAGATTTTGGTTCTTGTCATTGTTTTATCCTGTCAGAAAAATGTCCAATTCATTTCAGAACTTAAATGTTTGTCATTAATTAAGTATTTACAGTGCAAAATAGCTCAGGTTTTAGTCATATGGTAAGCAGATGAGAATCTTGACAAAGGACACTTCATTCTTCTAGTGTTATATTTTCATACATTTTTCTCATGTTCACCATTTTATATGGATTTTTTAAACAAAAATTATTAAATGATTATTTTGTTTCAAAACTGAATAAAACAATACAACACTTAATCCTTGACTTTGTTCATGTTTTTATGTCTATGTAACAAAGCTGTGAGTAAATCTCAAAACAGTCAATTCTAAATCATGACATTGATTGTGGAATTAATTGGTAAGGTGGTCAGTTATTGTTTATAGAAGTCAGTATTGGGACAAGAAATGTCAAAATGGTTTTCATGTTGGGGTATTTTTTTGGATGGCTGAGTGTGATAGTCATCTTTACAGTTACCAGAAGGAAACAATTTAAAGCATGACTAGGATATGCTTCGTTATATACTTAATCTGCATGCATTACTGAACCATCCAAGTTAAGAAAATTATATTTTAGGTATATATAATATTATATAATACACTATACATACACTAAAAGCACAGGGTATTATTGTTAACTCCCTTAACTTAATTTGGTTTATAGGGCATAGATATATGGGTTTCCAGAAAGATGCGCAACGGAAAAAAGCGCACACCAAAAAAAAAATCAACCAAATAGAAAAATGCGCACACAGATAAATACCGAAGGAGAAAAATGCGCAAAGAGAAATTTGCATAAACAGAGAAATGCTGGAACAGAAATTTGCGCAAATTGAAAGATGCGCACACAGAAAAGTGCGCACGCCGAAAAATGCACAAAGAGAAATTTTAGCACAAAGACCTATATGGACTAAATGACACATTTATACATGATTGTTAGGGTTGCTGTAAGAGGGTCGTGTATGACCTGACGCGATCTACTACCATTTAAAGAATACCACTACCATAAGCATTCACATCACAATGATACAGGCGATAATTGCTTAACACAATACCTATGATTTTCTTGTTCAATATTTATTTAACTACTATTCTCGTTTAAATAAACCAACCTACCTTCCTAAGTAGGTGGATTGTTGGGTGGCTAGGTAGGTGCGTCATGATGAAATAATATTAAATACATCATTGTTATGATACTTGGTGATATTATCAGTGACGGCGCCAGGTTATTTAGGCAAAACTTATTAACCCCCCCCCCCCCGTAATTTTTTTTCAGCCCCCCATATTATATATATTATGTACTTTTTACTAATCCAGATTGCCCCTCTATGGATAGCGCCCTAGGCGACCGCCTAGTTCGCCTTATAGGTAGCGCCAGCCCTGGATACTAAAAAGAGTTAGATAGATAATTGTAGGCCCGTATATCCACGAGATGTTCGTTAAATAGTATTTAGCATTTTATTTTAGTTTGTATGTAAACTACTCCTTATATAACACAGATCTATGTTGAATTAAAGTATGTTTCTTGAACAGTCACGTTTGTCCTTAGGCCTCGGGTAGTCAGTCTCTGGGGTTTGGCGGGGGGCAATTCTCACAGGCCCGACTCAAATGGATTACTATAGTCTATAGACTATCGGATTTAAGAAGGGTTTGCTAAATGCGCTTAGGAAACTGGTGGGATTCGGTACCTCGAAAAAGGTTAAGATTAAGAACCACTATGCTTGAAGGAAATTATGAACATGCTGTTAGAGAATTAACATGTACCATATATTTTTGGATTTAAAAACTTCAATTTCTTACTAATAACTATTTTCGGCACAAAGGGAGATCACTTTCAATATTTTCCCGCGCTAAAAAAATGTCTCTCAACGAGTTTATGAAGCCAAGAATAAATGGATCATTATTACACAATTATATTGGGAAACAAGTTTGCTTGGTTGGTCTTCCAAAAAATGTACGTATGAAAGAATCATATTAACTTGATGGATGGTATCATCGATGAATTCAATGTGGCTCATTAAAAAATAATTCGTTTGAAAATCTCCTCTCATGATTCCCATCTCTGAATCATTGATTCTAGGTTTAATTATGGATTTTTTAAAATAAAATATTCTGTTATTTCAAATACACCATTAAGTTCCTTACCCCTTAAGAGAACATTTGACACCACATTTAAATATCTAGCTTAATCGGTTGACGAGAAAAGAGAATTTAAAATTTTTCCGAGAATGGAAAATGAAAGTCAGAACATCGTTTTTGCTCCTCGACCGGCATAACATGACGTCGTGGACTTGTGTGCACGAGCTTTTAATTCCCGCCATGGTAATTGCGTCAGCTTAGGTTATTTACTCACCGGAAAATAACAAAAAGCAACTGGTTGATAATAAAACTAGATCTAGTTATTTTATTATTTATTAAATTCTACTCTACATGTTATTCATACCATTTTTTGAAGTAATGAACACCTGCATAAATCAAATGACCATAATAAATATTTTTATTTCAAATTCTAATTTTAAATAATAAATATGCATAAAATAATATGATAGTAATAGTTAAGAGTTAAGATAGTTTATAAATACAAATACATTTTACACTCAATCACATTATATTGAGTCAACAGTGTGGCAGCTGAGTTTCATACATGAGTATTAGTGTCTTTTTTTTTTAACATTACTTTTTTTTTTCATCTTGAAAACATGACGTATGTGATTTTTTGTTTTAAATAAAATCTCCAAACATCGTCACTCGCGTGATTGCTTGCTTATGTTTACTATCCTGTGGATGAAAAATCCCACCACGGTCGCGGGGTCACCGTGACCTATAGTACACGTCATAGAATGAACACGCGCACACGAGATGGTCGGTGTCTTCACTTCTCTCTCTTCCCCCCCCCCCCCCCCTTCTTCAAGCTAATTGAATAACAGACCTATTTCCCTTCTGGTCATTTTTTTTTTTAAAGCTCGGTCATTTTTTTTAAAGTTCGCATATAAGCCAGCTGTATAAAAAAATATTTTTAACTAGATCTAGATCTACATCGAGCTTAAAAAAATAAATAAATAAACGCTTAAAATGCCCGTAAACAGATTATTTAGCGCCAAAAAAAAAAGGGCCGCTGAACGAGCATTTTTTAAAATACGCAGCAATGAAAAAGGCTAACGGCCACTTAATTAAGTCTAAAAATCGCCCGTAATTAGGCCTAGCGCTGAAAAAGGCCACTGAACGAGCATCACTGATTATATAAACGAATAGGCCACGCGGCGTTGACGAGGTTAACCACCGGTCACGAATGCAGCAACGGTCGGCCCACAGTGAAGAAAAAATCAATATACTAATAAAATTACTAATACAATAATAATGTCCATAATTTTACTTTTTCCGCACATGCTACAATTGAATAATATTTAATAATAATTAAAATACTAGACTTAACAGTTCATTCCGTAAAAAACAAAAACTAGTTGTTTCAGTCTGGCAACTAGCGTAGCAATGACGTCATGATACTAAAAATAGCGGATAGAAATGTCAGCGTGGGTACCTCATTTTGGAATTAGATTTTGGAAAGTAGAATCGATAATACTGTAAATATACATGGTAATTATCTCAATTATATATTAATTTAGTGTTATCAGAGCCGTTTTCCCCGTTATTGGGTCGTTTTTGGCCGCGGTTCAGTTTTTACGGAGAGTGCTCCACTAGAAATCCTCTCATTATTTACAAACACAATTCTCGCGATTTTTTCTGGCATTCTAAGGCATATTATCCATTTTATTAGCATTTTGTGTTAAAATAATGATGAGAATTGGCGAGATAAACAGTTCTTTAATTTGTCGTGGATAGGACCCCTAAAATAAACGTAGAAACCGTCAGAAAACGACGCGTGACGTTTCAGGGTCAGAGGTCAATCCAGCCATCTAAGTGACGAACCGGCCTAATTGATTCAATTCATTTTTTAAATTTTTGTCATCTCAAGACAAAAAATAAAAAAAAAGATTTAAAAATCGGGTCACAGTTTTAGATCTAGATTTAGTAGTACAGTAACAGTTACAGTACTATTGACACTAGCTAGTTGCTAGTACTAAGTACAATCTAGTGTCTATCTCGAATATAGATCTTGTCTAGAGTAGATTTCCTAACGCGGTCACACATAGCAAAAAAATCCGAACTCCCGATTTTCATCGGGCGCTATTTTGTACCCGTTTCACACAGAAACAAACTGAAAGTACCGTGTTATTCCGCTGCCATTCTACTCTAATATTTATAAGTCATTTTGTATTCCTACGCATAGTATTTGAGATATTCATGTTTTAGTGACGTGCCTGCTTGCGATCTTTTTTTCCCCTTTTTTTTCTTGCCGGCGGTCACATTTTCCTGTTGTGTAACAAGCATAGTTTTTTACGTTTTGATCCAATTTTAATAGCTAAAATAAATAATTTACACCTATAAACGTGTTGTTGATTGTATTATTAATTAATAGACTGCAAAACCAAATAAAAAACACTTTAATTAAATTTATTAACAACACATCACGGATTTTAATAATCATAACAAAGGGACGTAACAATTACTAACAAGACAAAACCTAACATTTGCTTAGATATGCTTGTAGGCCTATATGGAGACACAAACTAGTTCTAGAAGAAGTAGATGATCGAAATAATTTAAAACCACAGAATAATGTATAAACTATACAGATTCTAGACTTAGCTTAAAATATAGAGCATCTAGATCTAGGCTAGTCTAGCTCAAGTCATTGGTTACGCAGCGAGGAAAACGACCCGAATCGTCAGCCCAGCTGCGGTCACCCCCATTTGACCTCTCAGGTTGCTTTAGTAGCCTTAGCTATAGTATTTACAGTGTCCCACACATATGTAGAAGCTATTTATAGTTAACCTAATTATAAACAGCTTTGATTGGTTTGTTTTATTCGTCTCAACACGGACCTAGTGTTTTTAATCCGGGGGAACTGGGGATCACCGGCTGACGTCATACCTCAACTTAAAAATTTAAAAACTTGTCTTCCAGAAGGAGAAAACAAAAGAATTTGACCTGGATATATTTAGAAATGGACATGCTTACAGCAGATACCGGTAGTTTCGTATAAAGCATCCAAACAATTATTATACGAAGCGAAAAACGGGAATGTGATCGCAATATGGCTTTGACCGTGTGAGGAAATCTACTCTAGTTGAGTTGCTATCTATATATATAATTCTCTTCTGGGAGACGCTAGAAAACAAGCTGTAAACGCGCTCCCTACCATCCCCACCCCTACATGGACTTAGTGAGCTGTGGTTCACGCTATGTTTACCTTCGTGGAGTCGGGTTTAGTGACGGTTATTAGGGGAAGATAATTTAGTTTGAAACGATTTTAAACGTTGGGGGGGGGGGGGGGGGGGGTATGGTCCTTAACAAGCTACTTAAAGTGTTTTAAAGAAATATTTTCAGTGTCAGCGTTGGTACTGTCGAATTCACAAATTATGAATTACTGAAAAGTAGAAAAAACAACTAAATAGCGGCGTATGTTATGCCGCGGGCCGTCTAGTTAAAACTAAAACACATTAAATTTGTTCCATAATTTATTAATTGTAATATAATAAACTTGCTTATATGTCAAATTACTTGTATTTCAAAGTTGGTTTCTCCTTTGAAATGCCTTTGATTGAACTATTACTAAATTACTGTACAATTTTTTTGTCACTTTTGCTTAATTTTTGTCACTGTTTTAAGTGTTTTTCTCAGACATGCTTATCTGGTTCTTCTAATCTCAATTGTTTCTCACATTTCTAAGCAAAATATCATTTACTTGACAGCTTGTATTTTTAAAATATTGTATCAGGGTTCGTACTGCTTTATGAAAATGAAATTCCAGACTTTTTCCAGACATTTTTCAGACTTTTTTGGAAAAATTCCAGACTTTAGACAGATAATGTGTTAGCGAATAATTTTTTTAAATGATGCACTATTTGTACTGTCATTATAATTACTTATACTAAATTGACATTTATTTTAGGCAATTGAGCTATATTCATAGTGAACTTTCTCTAGCCGAATTGACAGAAAATCACTTTTCTAAGTTTGCCTACTCCACCCTACCTAAAATTTTAACAATTAAAATAATTGATTAAAATGATGCAACTATTTTGTTTCCAACATTAGACTTATGTAATCTGTTCCTGATCTAATTGCTTATGTTTTCAATTAAACTATCATTAAAATGGTATTGCATAATAGTGAGAGTTAATAACTTTAAAGAATAATAATGTAATGTATTAATTTAGGTCTGCTCTTGTTAAGTAGCCTATAGGCTACTTGTAAAAAAAAAATGTGGAGCAAAAAAACAAAAAAAATACACACATCATTCACTGTTTGTGCTTATAGTAATAGCTGAGAAACGGGTCTACAATAACAAAAATTGCCGGTATCCTCCCCCCCCCCCCCCCCCCACAGTCATGGTGAAGCGGTCACTGTGAGGTCATAGTGGTCTAGACTTCAGTATAACATGAACTGTGCTGTGACTTATACCCCCTCCCCCACCCTACTTACCAAGCAGTACCAACTACCAACTTGGGGTCACGGTGAGTTCACACAAGTGACCGATGTTGCAAGGAGGGGCGGGGTAGTCTAACTTTAATCGTCAGCATTTGCAAAGATATCAAAAATAGTTTAATAGAAGGTGAATTAAAATTAAAGGGGTCATCCATTTATGACGTACACATGGAGGGGGGAAGGGGTCGGAAGATGTTGTGATTACATTCTAAAACAAACATAAAACGTGTATCTTGCGAGTAGAAAGTAAAATTAAGACGACTGTGCTGGTGTTTTAAAAACCATCGCAGCGTGTAAATAAAACACGGTATTTATATCTGCCCCAACATTATTGCAAGAACGTGTCGTCACACTTTATAAAACCCTCCTCCCGACTTTCCGGAGTGTGACGTCATTTATGGACGACTCCTAAATAAAAATAGTACCTCTTTGTTAAGCTGAAGCAAACAGAAATACAGGTATGAACCCAAGGAGGCCTTGCGACTTATTAATCTTATAAATGTTAATATTAATCCAAAGTAAGTGAACGCGTGTGGACAGAGGGGGGGGGGGAGTAGTGGGGAAAGGGGAAAGGGGGTGGGTCTAAAATCGGAAAAATTGTTGGAGGTCATAAACGGATGACGCCTTACAGACTGATACATTATATCTAAACTACCACTCACACATCTCCCCCATAACTTTTGTTAACGATGAAAAAATAGCGGGTAAAATCGAGAGCCTAACAATCATGACGGCGATCATTCTTTCATTAAATGACAATTGTACGTACTTGTAACACATTCACACGGTTAGTCGTGCCACAAAATATTACTTCCCTCCCTTCCCCTCTTCTCCCAATGACGTAGTAACTGAGCATCCGTCTTTTTTCTGCAAACCAGCGGAAAAACGTCACAGCACAGTGTAAACCCGCGCGATAGCGCTGGGAAAAAAATTGGAGTAAATTCACTTTAAAAAAAACATTTTTTTTAAGTTGGAAAATATGGACTACGAAGTTTTGTTGCTAAAACTAGATTCCAGACTTTTTCCAGACTTTTAAAAAATCCTGCCCAAAAACTAGCGATTTTCCAGACTTTTTTAAGTCTTAAATTCACTTTTCTAAATTCAAGACTTTTTCCAGACTTTCCAGACTGCGTACGAACCCTGTTGTATGTTGTTAAGACACTCATCTTGTTTTTTTGTGTAACACTCTTTATTTGACTGGGCTTGGGACTGGTAAGATATTTCTGAAGCTTTATCCAGGTGAAAAAAAATATTTAAGATTTGTGTCTATTTATCTTTTAAAAACAGTCATTGCATTAAAATATTTAACTTGTGTGAGTAAAGTATTAGTAGTATTACTGGTGCGACAACCTGCTTGTTAAATGGAGAAAAATCCTTCTACAGCAGGCATAACATGAGCATAATCACAGTCCCAGTCTTTAGTACCCCTGCACATAGTCAACTAGGAAGTTCATTTACAAATTAGAATACTTTTGTTTAGTCAGTGTACCTATTGATTATAAATTTCTTTATTTCTGTTACAAACACATGGCATATTTCTTTACTTGGTCCAGGCATTAGACAGCTGCCTGGTACTCTTGGTCTCCCTAACCACTTTTTTTCTGTTGTTATCAAATGTTCCAGTATAAAAAATTATATAAATTTACAAAAGTGATAATTATTTAATGTTTTTGTTTGTTAAGGTAGAGAATTCTGGTAACTTCTTCACCCTAACCACTTGTGACAATCAAGATGTTAGAATTCAAATGCAAGCACCAGTGAGTAAGAATATTTGGGTTTCTCGGTTTCCATTAAGTTGACCTAGAGTTAAGAAATGCTTTCAGTGTGGGCATACTTTAGAAGATTTTAAATAGTTTTTTAATTTTAAAAGTGTATCCCTTTTCAGTAATAGTTCAAGCATGTGCTCCTTTTTTTTTTCTTTAAAATCCCTCATCTCAATTGAAAGTTTTTACTTTAGATTAACCAAAGGATTTCCTCTGTAACTGAAGTTCATGGTACAGTCACTGCTCGGAACAGTCTACAGTGTGATAATATTGTTGTTTTTCCTGAAGGATCTGAAAACTTTGGTTGGTGAATTTTAAAAATATATATTTTATAAACTGATTCATTTGATTTTAACATAGTTTCTTAATTTGTCTTCACACATTTTTCCTCCTCTCTAAATTTATAGATATGTCATTATACCAGAGTAGCATAGAATGTATGCTGAGATGCCCCAGCCTGTACAAGCAAGGTGGCAACACTGAAGACTAGTTTCTTCAACAGATCTACATTATATATTGTGTAATATAGTAAAAAAAAAGTGTGTGATTATACATTTATGTGAACTTTCGAAGCATTAAACTTGAGTGTGAAGGCTCTCACAAAATTTATATTTTAGACTTGAAAGTGCAATTGTTTGTTTGTATTTTAAATTTAATATGGCATTGGTAGCATCATAATTATCCAATATTTTAGGAAATGTGACAATAATATTTTAAGTTTTTAATAACAATATTTTCATACAAAAGTTAATGTATTCCTCAATTAAAAACAAACAAAAAACATAGTAATTAAATATATAATTACCCATTTTACACCATTTAATAAACTACCTAATAAGAGAAGCTCATTTTTTCTCCCTCTAAATGTCTTTTCTTAAAAGTGTACATAAACAATGGTTAGAAACAAAAATAAATTTATAAATACTTGTTCATACATGAATTTCATAAACAATAAAATCTGTATCAAAATTGTAATCATGCAAAATAACCATTAACTATGGTATTGACATTTGTATTAAGGTTCTTTAAAATATGATCACATAAATTATATTGAACAAACAAATTTATTTTAAAAACAATCCCTGAATACAGTCACGCTCCGTTTTATTAAGAAGCGTTTACAAATATCTTTACAGTATCAAATTTTTCTAAACACATCTGGTAGAAATTATTAGATTTGTTAAGGTAAACTAATAATGCTATTTGTATCCTAGGTAATGAATATAGTAGTTTCCCTTTCAAATCTGACGGTCTATTGGGCAAGTGAAGTAGAGTTCACTTGTTTCTGTCACCTCAGCATTTGAAGAGATATGTGGTCGGCACTATGCCCAGCTGCCTTTACTTTCCCTAACGTGAGTGAGGTACCCATCAGAGTTGGGTAGAGTCAGGGACGGTCTACTGACTTGAACCCGGATTCGAACTTGAGACTTACGGGCTAGCAGTAATGAATATAAAACTATTAAAACACTAGAAAATGTACCAAACAATAATTTTCTAGAGACTACTAATTAACAGTATAGTGCTGAAAAAGTTTCTGGATTATATTTAATTTATTAAAAAAAAACCCCTGATATTCTAGTCAATTCAATAATTAGGTACTCAATACAAAATGAAAGACAATTTTTAACAGTTAAATTTAAATGCACATAAAACCTGCAAAAATATATTGGTATAGAATGTAAGTCCTCTAAATTTGTGCTATTAATTGCCAAGGATAATGTCTCAAGTAAATAACTGAAGGCAAATATTATCCTTCACAATTATCAAACTCATCTTACAGCATATATATCAACAACCTTTCATCAATTTATAAATTAACTACTCAAAAAAACAGTTATCAAATCCAATTTTAAAAATGTATTAATGATTGCTTTTGTAATGTGATTTATTTTTCATTAACAGTTTAAGTTCTAGTATAATTTACAGCATGAACAGTATCAGGATTCTGATAGCCTTAATAACAATGGCATAAAAAATGTTTGAAGTGTAGTTTTAAAATTAAAAAAAACAAAACAGTCAAACATTTTGAATGTACAGAAGGCAGCTGGATTAAAAAAAATTAATCCATGGTTTGTATTGAGATGACCTACTCAATGAAAAATTGAGACAAAAAGAAAATCTTGTACATTAGCATTTAAATTATAAATGTAAAATGCATGTAGATGAAAAAATTTGGACTAGTCTTTACGATGCTGACACATCGTTACCATTATCATTGACATGAGGCAGTTGGAGTTTGACTTTATCTTGTGCAATGCATTTACATGTACATCCTGTCACAGGGCACTCACTGTGTTCACTGCAGAAAGAAAAGTTTACGCAGGTTTTATTTAGTTTCATAAATAGTTAAGCTGACTGAAATGCATCATGTTACATTGAATTTATTATTTGAAATGTGTTGACAGTCCCATGATAATTGTACAGGCATCCTTTTAGGTTACTTTGTATGGCAGATGAGTAGACTAGATGCATTAAGACTCACAAATAATAAATGCTCTTCTCAGGAATACTAACTGCTATAAATAAAGCATCCAACAAAAAATACACAGAAATTTCTGAACCATTTATAATGATACATTTATTTAGAAATACCTGAATCAATGAACAAAATATTTATTTAGAAATATCTGAATCAATGAACAAAATATTTATTTAGGAATACCTGAATCAATAAATAAAATATTTATTTAGAAATACCTGAATCAATGAATAAAATATTTATTTAGAAATACCTGAATCAATGAATAAAATTAATACCTGAACCACTGGATAAGATGAGCAGCATGACCGCCATGTCTGCAGGTCTGGCACCAGGTAAACCATTCCTGAATTGGTGTTAACTTTGCTCCACTACCTGCATAAAACATTACACAAGGTGAACACAAATATTTTTAAAAATTTTTTTAATTGATTACATAAGTTGAACATCAAACAGCAAATATTTTTTTTACAAAGAAAAAGATGATAACTATAATTTTCACACCACTTGAGCCAGTAGGAAGACAAGTTAGATACCACCAACCTGTAGCTATTCCTGTACCTGATGAAGTTCCCATATGTGTTAAACAAATAGCACAACGTGGCAAAGCTTTTCTGCAACTAGGACAGCATGTTATCTAAAGAAATGAGGTATTTGAAATTATGGTTAAAATACTGCTAACACAAATTTGAACAAAATTTTAACAATATTCATCTAAAAAGTTAATACCTTTGGTCTAATCTGGGCACCCCGATTAAATACAGTTTGAACCATGGATCGGGCACGAGTCATGATTGTATTGGAAATAGATTTGCCGCAGAAATTACAACTGATATTAACTGAAGGTGGAACACGATCTTGGTAGAAGGTCTGACGTACATTATCAAATATACATCTGAAACAAGAGTTACTAATATACAGTTGAATAACTGAGTGCAAGCTATTTGAAAATAAATTGTGCCATACATTTAATACATTCTTTTAAAATAATTTTCCATACCTTTGGTGCCAGAATCTCCATCTGTCTAACAGATCACGGTATCTGAAATTTTTTTAAATAATTATTTTACAGAGAATAAAAAAAAATTAGTGGATTTCATCACAGAAAATTAATAAACTTTAGTTTAAGAAGAAAGCTGTTATAAATGTCTAAGAATACTTTTAAGTACTACATATTTTTAAAAATTTAAAAAGACATCTTACACATCAATCCATTCAGAAATTCTTTGCTCCTTACACATGGAAAATACAGCAGCTATGGCCGCTGTCTGAATATCAGATGTCAGGTCTAGATAATTTCCAAGCAGGTCAACACCCTTGCTGTACATACCTTCAATAAATAAGCTATTAACAGTAACCACATGAATTTAATTCCAGAGAAATCATCAGAATAGAATTTATGTTTTACAAGAATATAGATGAATCTATAAAGTACTAGACATCTCCCAGGTGTGATTACTTACCTGTAAGTAATATGCCATCCAAGTCACCAGCTTTGATGAGTTCCTCACTTAGTTTACACAAATATGTCTTCAACTAAACAAATAAAACCTCTTCTTAGGTTCACAAAAATTTTTAATATCTCTACTCTAACAATACTATTTGGATTATTTTAATTCAGGGTAAAATATGGACTTGATAGAGAGATGCATATTTATGGTAATTCATTTTTAAAGCCTGAAAAGGAAGCAAATCAATTAAAATATCAATTTTCAATTATTATTTTTTGGTCACTATTATTTTATTGTGCAAAAATTACATCATTAAAAATATTTTTATAATCAAATTCCTACATCTTAGGTTAAGTGCATATTTAGAAATTCAGATTCAGTAACAGAATAGAGAAAACAATACAGAAGTTAAGGCCCTACATGACCGTACCTTAGCATCTGGCAAGTATATCAAGGCAAAAGCAACTCTGTCCTCTACTGCCATATCTTCTTCATCCTGTTAGAATAGCAATATAAGAACAAGCTCAAATATTCACTGCATATAGATATGCAATCTCTTGCGTAGTTTGTAAACAAATAGAGTTGAAATTTTTACCAGAACATCATCATAGTTGTCTTCATCACAGGCAAGAAAAGCAAATATAGCTCGTAGGTAAGGATTTTTTAACTGATATCTCAACGTTCCACACGTTCGTCTCCATAAGGCATTTTTGTCTTCAGTAAATCCTGATAAGGCCATAGCCACAGCCTTGAGATTGGGTGATCCCTCACCTATGATTTACAGTTTGGTTAACAGCATTATTTTAAATGTTACAAAAATTGCATAAAAAAGATAAATTTAAAATGTATAATATACAAACTTTAAAAATGTTAATTAAAGTATGTAATCCACTAAAGATGGACTCAATTGTATTACAAGTAAAGGATCTTCTGTAACCAGTATTTTACCTTGCTCTGTGCTTGCTGTGTAAATGCTGAGTATTTCAAGAGCTTTTTTAATATGTAGATAGAACAAAGCTATTGCTGAAGCTCTTTCTGGAGAGCCAGATTTAACAAGCCTGCAGGGAAAAATTGTTTGGAATTATAAACACATTGTGTGAACGTAAACACTCAAATGTTTGGTCTGAAGCAGAAAAAATGTTTTACTTACTTTTCAATAAAAGCATCAAATCCTTCTTTCAAATAATCAGGTGTCCAGCCGCAAAGTTGCAGTGCCATTGTTCTGCAAATTTTAATATATAAACACATAGATGCCTGTCGGTATTCACTACTGAAGATATGTAATATTTTTCAAAAGAGAACTATGTAAGTAAATATAATATAATCTGTTTACCTTTCATTGCTACGGTAATGAGTGCGTTTTGAGTATTTTATGTTCTCTGATGCTTTCCAGTTAGTTGCTACAGGTTCACTATTTAAATTTACATCATCTCCTTCTATGTGAAGAAGGGAGATTACTCCAGTAGCATATGGAATCCGATGTTTACTAGATGCTGTTTGTGATGCTATCAGGACCCTAATATCTAAAGAAAACTGTTAAAGATTTTCTTCAAAGGGTATTTGTACTTTACAATATAAAAAACAATACAATAATATCATTATATTATGATGTAATCTGTAATCATATAAATTAATTTGTGGTAATTTTAAAAGTATACTTAACAAAAAAAAAATAATTTATTAATTACATCTACACCATCAAATGGCTGGGACTAAATTAATCAGCATACACAGCCACCCTAGTTTTTCATCATCATTAACACAGAAAACCTGGCAACAAAAAAAAAATGCACATCTAAGGATACTGAATATCCATCTCCACAAACCATGAAGTTGGGGTTCATCTTCAACAGCCTTCATGTTAACAGCAATATCTTGAGCCTGAAACAAAAATGTGAAAGAATTTTTTTTAAAAAGTGCTCTTAAAAAGAAAATTATAATGATAATTTCCTATACTAATGTTTTCTCACCTATACTTTGACAGTTATAATGCAACCAGCGAATGCTATTAATTTTAAATTAATATTCTAATATTTAGAATATTACAAGGTGAATGACTTTACATGTTTAGTGATTTGTAATGCATAAAAATAAGTAACAACATTATTTGTTGTTTTAATATAATAAAAACTGTTTGAGCATTGATGTAAAAAGAAAACATTAAGAAAATATAATTTCACCTCAAGACCATAGTTCTGGCTTATTCTTTTTCTCATAACAGTGGATATGTCTTTATTTAAGTCAGTCTCTTCCAAACATCTGATGATATCTTTGCTGACTGGCATAGTTAACTGTAAGTTGGATGACCATTCCTATACAGAAAATCATGTTTGAAAATTAGTTGAAAAAATTTGTTTTTGGAAATTTTAATATCTCCTGATGAGCCTGAAGCTATAAAAAATTTTCATTTTTTTTTCATAGAATCATTCAAATAATTAAAAGTAGAAACACTCATATTTTACTAAAGCTAATTTAAAAAAGAAACTTAGTTTACCATAGGAATTCGATCGTAAATTGTCATGTCCCTTACACTACCATTAGGCAAAACAGACAAAAGCCTATTTTCTTGTCGAGGATGCCAACTAAATGACGCCAGGTGAGACTTATTGAATGCTGTTGACAGGAGTTTTTAATCTATATTTTTATATGTAAATAACATGCAGCGAAACAAATAATTACTTGTGTAACCTCACAATACTTGCAATCAACAATTCACACCCAACAATTAAACAGAACATTTTAATAATCATCTGATAGAGCAAGATTTAAAGCAGCTTCACCTTTTACAAGAGTTCAAATATTGAAAGTTGCACAATTTTGTTTATACCACATTTCAAAAAGAAATATAGTTGTACTAAAAATTTCCTAAACTGCCAAGGGTAAATAAAAAGTGTAGCTACATATTCAGATATACTTACGTTGAATATTCCTTTCAATAGATGATTGTTCAATTTCTTCTGAACTAAATAAAGAGTGCCTGATGTCATGAAGTTTAACATGGGAGCTCTCTTTGGTGAGCACAGATAGAATTCCCTGTCTGAATGGCAAACATTTTAAAGTATGATTTAAAAGAATATGAAACTAATGAGAAAAACATATAGAACTACCATTTTTACAGATTGTAAAAAGTACTTACTTAGTAGGACACCAGCTAATCTTAACAACATTTTTATTTTCTGTGATAATGTTTATCTGCATTTTAGTCAAGTTTTGTGAATGTGAATTCGGAACAATAAGTAATCAATTTAACTTCACTATCATACAGTCAAAAATTTTTTTAGAACAACTTTAAATTCATTTCAGCCAATAAGAACAAAGGATACAGGTCTGTCAAAACTGCGAGTATCCCAAATGGCAACTTGATTCTAGATAAAATATTAAATGCTTAAATTTCAAGATTATGCTTATGATGATAATTTAATTTACCCTATCAAACCTAATAAACAAAAATTGCTTTTTTGAATAATACATGATTTTTAAAAAATAGCAGTAAAGTATTGAGTAAATTCTTGACTAACTTACTTCACAATAAGATGCAAGTCGATAGGGTTCCATTGGGTCAATGCAAATACCAGATACACAGATATGTTGTGCATCTTGATGGGGTCTTGTTGTGTCTTTAATAAGATAAGATAGATGAATTAAAAATAAAAAATAACAATGCTTTAATAGTAGATAACTTTTCTCATAAAATAAAACAACTTACCCCTGAGATCATATACTCGCAAATGCTTATTAGCCATTCCAACCACAAAACACTTTGGGTCATTTGTAAACCAAGAAAATGATGAACTTGATTCCCCTGATCCTAATTTTATAAATATTTCAAATCAATATAGTTCTTGTTTTTAATATTAGTAATTCTTAGAACTAGTTAATCAAATTTAGAAAACTTTGGAGTTAGATAAACCACATTTTCTTTGTTAAGTGTTTTTATACACTAGACTTTTGATTATATCATGTAATAGACAATAAATAAATCAATTTAAAAAATCTTTCAGCAATAAACAACAGACAGAAAATTCTATTCAACACACCTAGCTCTAAAGCAGGTTTTGTAACAGGTCCTTCACTAGCACTGTGCCTCGTCCTCTCTCCTAAGTCAATACTTGAACTGTTTACATCCCAGATCAACACACATGGTTCATTTCGGCTTCTCTCTAGCCCTTGAGCTAACTAGAAGACAATTTTAAACTTTGTAACAATTGTTGATTTTTAATCCCAAAATTTGTAGTAGCTTGATGTTAATTTTAATTACAAGAATTGATGATCTAACATGATTATGAATTGTTGTCAACTTGTATTATAATTTCCCAGCTTTTTACCCAAATAGTGAACATACTGCATAGTCAGTCATCAAATGTTTCCCAAGCACTAATATAATTATAACAGGTAATAGGTAAGAAAAAGGTATATAACATAATGTATATTTTAGAAAAACTTACCAGGTGAGTTTCACTTGGGTTCCAGGCTAAATAGTTACACTGGCGATTGTATCTTATATCTGTGAATAGCCGAAGATGTTTAGAAAAATTGGCAAGAGATGATATGTAAAGGAATATTTATTAACATATGGTAAGTTAAATTTAACCAACAGAGGTTATAAAAATAATTTACATTAGATGTCAGAGGAAATATAAAGTAACTTAATAATTTACCACAACATAAAAGCTTAGACCTAGTACAGTTTCAATATGGCTGTTCAAGCAAAAGAATAATGCTGAAACTTTATAAAATACTAAACCGATCTTCAGCAGTCTACATTACAATAAATTACATCAACCAGCCAAATAATAATTTATGTCAAATATTTTTTAGATCTAGTAAAACAAAATTTCGAAGGCAAAATTTTTTAAACAACTAAGGACCTTCTCTGGTTATGCTAACAATGTGTACCAGGTTGGAACACATTTAATTCAAGAATTATAATTTTTATTTTGGACATCATTCAGACCCTAGGGTTTTATATATATTGATGTGTATATTAAAAATACTTACTGAATTCTTTTCCTACAAGGTCATCATTGCTTTGTTGGCCAATACTGAAAATAAAATTTTAACTCAGCATTGAATATAAAATGTCTGCATACAGCTCTTGTTTCTATTTACTATTTTCATGCATTTGAAAAGACTGCAGTATCTTTTAGTACCCCATGTTTTAAAAAATAAGACTACATGCTAAATTTACAGAGGCTAATATTATACCACCAATTTGACTAATGTGGTTATGAACTTTTATTTTAAAAAAAAAAACAACACCACATAAATGCTTTAAATCTTTTACAGTAAAATGAACAAATTAAAAATAGCACTTGCACCTAATAGAATGTCATCACCACACATTAAAAAAAGATCTGTACCTAACCATACTTATACGACCATTTGTTTGAGCAACAGCGAAAACATTTTTGGACTCTACTCGGGGGCACCATGCAACACACTGGGGAGAAAACAAATTGTTAAACTTCAGCACTCAAGAAATAATATTGTATTATCCTAATTGATTAACTCTAAGTTTCAATTTAAAACCAATTTATTATTTACACAAGAATTCAAATTTAGAGTGTTAAGTTTAATTTTTTTTTTAACTATGTTAGCTAAATTTTATAGTTAGCAATATCTATTTAATTTGTATAAAAACAGAAAAGCATTTATAAAAAAAATGACACATACTTTCATAAACTGTAGATCTGAACTTGTAGCTAACAGTACAATTTGTGAAATTTTTGGACTTAATTTGTTATCTGAAAAAAAAAAGAGGAGAATTCTAGATGAGTTTTAATGAATGCAGTTATTGCAATACTATGTATTTATTTTATCGTAACTTACAACTTACATGGCTTAATACTTTAAAAGGCCTTATTACATCCTCTTTTTATATTATTTCTAGTTCTATAAGGGTAGGTTATGCTGAGCATATTATTATTTTAAAGAACACAAAAAAAAACAACTACTTCACAAACCTGGATTAATAGTTTCATATATGCCATCTCTTTCCTTTGCTTGATACAAGTTAATAGCAGTTCCAAATGTAATAAATATGTCATCATCAAATGGTGACCATTGAAGATCAAGCTTTAGGCCACTCATTATTTCTTAATGTGCTGGTGTTAATTAAAAAAACAACTTATTACAATGTATTATATAGATAATGCCCATCATTTATAAGGCAATAACAACAATACAAATAATTTACATTAATTAAAATAGTAAACAAAGCATCATGTTCCCCAGCAGGTAGGGTATTCTATTAATTACCTAAATATAATTTAAAGAACTTTAACCTTTTGTTGAGTACTTTAATAGCATTGCAAGTGATATGTTAAAATAATTTTATATAGGGGCCTAGATCTAGGCCTATTACTTTAATCATGGTTAGCTTCTTCTTCATTCATAATTTTAGTGTTAGAAGGGATCCCCTCCAACACAATTAATGTCAACTGGTTATAACTCTGATTTCAGCCTGTTTTACTTTTTGGATTTGCTTTCATAGCCTTTGTCCTATCAAGAACAAACTAAAAGGCAGCAGTTGTTTGATTTTGGAGTTGTCTCTCATAGAAGTAGAGTGGCTGTCCCCAGCTAACAAACTTCATCTGCCCGAGGGATGAACTTGAGACTTTTCGACCACACCAACCTCTGGTTAGCATGTGTACATTTATTTGTCAAAGTTCATAAAAGTTAGGCCCTAAATCAGTAAATCATCATGTTGGAATTAGGATGCTGTAAAAAAAAAAATTTAGGCCCTGCTTCTATGCTGAACATTACAAGTACAACAGATCATTATTTAACATTTATTAGATCTAGGTCTAAATATTATTATTAAATAATTATTAATTAATTAAATGATTGGGCCCCTAGCCCTAATATTTACTAATATTTATTATTTTAATATTTTTTTAATATTCCAATTCCATGTTGTTGTTTTTTTTTATGAAGTTCACTACTTTAATAATTTGCTTTTTTAACGTCTTGCTAAGTTAAAGCAATAACGTGTATCAATTAACGTACTATGCTCCGACTATAAAAGAGAAGCAGTAATTGTTTTATCGTCTCTTTTAACTCATAACTAACTACTTAACTAATAACTAATGTTACTACTAGACAGAGATCTAGTCTCAGTGTTCCCTTGTACTCTTCATTTAAGGAGGCGCGTAATCCATATTTTACTACAGGAGAGCTCTTCGCCTGACAGTAAAAAATAAAAAAAAAATGTAATGAATAGGCCAAGGCCAGATAATAGAAAATTGGGTGCACCGTCAAAACGGCCCGGGACAAATCGGTCCCGTCACAATGGCCATGTTAATATGACCCCGTCAAATCGACCCCCGACAAAATGACCCAGTCAAAATAGCTCCGTCAAAAAGGCCCCGACTTATTGGCTCCCGTCAAATAGGCTCCCGTCATTTTGAAACACGACATATAGGCTCCCGACAAATGGGTTCCCGACATATAGGCTCCCGACAAATAAACTCCTGCCATATTGGCTCCCGACAAATAGGCTTAGGACATATAGCCTCCGACAAATAGGCTCCCGACATATTGGCTCCCTACATAAGGGCTCACGACAAAATGGGCTCACGACAAATGGGCTCCAGACAAATGAATCGTATGACCACTACTGGCATAAAAGAAACAGTTTTGTCCTACCTCCACTACCACTATAACCTCTTTTAAATGCCTGAATGAAATCGTTTTTCGTGAACAAACATCATTTCACAAACAAATCGAGCTCTTAACAGCTAAATTAAACAAATGTTAAAATTTTGATAATGTTTAATTTACTACAGTAAAGATCCGTTGCTTAAAAGCGAGCACAGAAACGTAATTGTATGATATACATGATGTTTACATAATAACGGCATTTTGTTTTGATAACCTACTTGCATACTTCAGGTAGGAATGTACAGCGTGGATCCCTCTCCTCACACATTGAGTTGGAACAGCCTATAACCGACTCATTTATGGAAGTCCTTGACAGATGACCCTTAAATTCAAACATACTATTTCTTATAATAGATAAACTATTATAAAAATAAGGCCTGCAAGATATGCATACGTTGTATTACTTAAGAGTGTTGGATAAGCTCACTCTAAAGAATGTTGATGAAGGTGTCCCACTGGCAGGTGTCATATTCAATGAGACCGTTTTGCCGGGAGACTTATAGTCCTTTTGTCGGGAGCCAAATTGAGTCGTAATGACTGGAACTGTTTTGTAAAGAAACTTCTAGGGTTGAGTACGATCATCCTCCCGAGGCTTGTGTTCGGCGAACAGCGCGGGGCCGGAGTTAGTATCAGTAGGCCATCTCAATTAGATCTAGCCTAGTATGATGCCATTCAGTGATGTTGCTAGGTCGGGTGTCACCCGGTGCGGTACACAGCGGTGAACGTTGGTGTCACCCCTTCCACTTTTTTTTGGATAGGTCTAAACTTTGCACGGATAATAGTAACGATGTTTATCTATAGTCGGTTATTAATACAGCTGGGTGTTATATTGTTTTCTCTACTCTTAGCAAGTTTACGAAATGGTGTCACACACCCCCCTCCCTCATCACCTTGTCGAGATTCGTCAATTTTGCTCTTAAAAACAATTTAACTGTAATTAATCATTCATTTAAATGGAATAACTTCGCCATCGCTACGCCTCTGATGCCATTAACACTGTTTATTTATTATATACAGTTAGGCTGGATCAATACCGTACCATTGCACAGAAATTTAGTTCGTAACTTTTTGCCGCCTCTTATTTAGTGAAAATCGCATACTTCCTTATTTTTCGGCATTAAAAATGATCTCGCCGATGTTCATGGTTTTTTTCTTATTATTTGGTACATAGATATGATGATATAATCAAAACTTTCTGACAATAATAATATCAGTATTACCTAAAGATATCAACCGTTTGAAAGATTGTATAATAATAAAACAAGTTAATAAAAAGTCTAGTGACAATTTAAGCGCAATTTCCTTAATTAATTTTTTGTGACCGAACGAAAGGATATTTTTGAAAACTTTCTTCGGCAATGTTGTTCTAAATTATGGCAGGAATCGATTGGTAAATGTTTCAAGTCGCTAAGTGGTCTGGTTGCCGAGATATGGGCCAAAACTGCATTTTTTCGAGGTTTTTTGGCTTTTCCGGGAAATCCAGGAAGGAATTCCGGGATTTTTTTGGCCCACAATCATCCTCGGAACTTGCTTAACATATTTGCTTTGAAACTAGTCCTCGATATTGCTTCGTTGAGGAGGAGATACGACTTAAAGCTGCGGACACACATCCATCCATCACCAGAAATGACGAGTTAATAATCGCAATTGTCCAGTATGGAAATTGCGCTAAAAATGTCTCTCACTTACGTATAAAAAGTTCTCTCAAAGCCACACCAAAAAAAAAACACATTTAAATTTTATTAATTCTAAATTGGAAGAAAGGTAGTCAATAACCTACTTAGGTAGGTATACGAGTATAAGTAGATACAGATGTTAACGAGGTAAAGCAAGAGCCGCCTTCACACAGCCAAAGAACACCTAGATTTCCACTGAGTTCTCCTTGTCCACCAAATCCCACCAATAAGGTACGCCCTTAACTCCAACGTAAAATTAGTGTTGTTGAATGGGGCGGAGACTTGGAGGACGACCAAGACGACCTAAATGAAGTCCAGAATTTTATGAACGGCTGCCTCTGACAAATACTCAGGATCCGCTAGCCCGATATCATCACCAACGTTCATTTATGGGAAATGACAAGGCTAGGCCTAATTGCCGCCGAAGAAGAAATTATAATAGGAGAAAAAAAAAGAGTTGGATAGAGTCACACACTGCCAACCACTCAATGTTTTTTTCCTCCAGGGGGGGGGGGGGGTTAAAATTTTCGGGGGAGGGGGGATCAAATTTCCGGGGGAGGGCACTGGTAAAAGTATATATTTTCTATATAAATTCTATTTCGTTTCGGCGGGGGGGGGGGGGGTAGACGTTGCCTAGAAGAAACTCTGCAACCAATATCGTGCCGGGCGACGGGACATTGAGGCTGAAGTCGCAAAGATGGACTTCACCTGGAGTCAGGTTAAGAAAATGGGACAGGATAGAGGACTCTGGAGATCTTTGGTTGGCGGCCCATTCCCTAGCAAGGGTGACGGCCAGTGATGTGATGAATATTTTAATTGAGATGCCTGTATAAGAATTTAAAACTAACATTTAATACTTCGGATTAAAAATGTACTTTCTTACACTTTCTTACTTAATACCCCTTCCTTTGTCACACATCGCCACAAAGGTCGATTCCCAACCTCCTCACAGAGGCGTAACTTGGTGCCCTAGGCGCCGACCCTAGGGAGCGCTAAACGGGAGAGCAAAAAATAATTAAAAGCTCATTTTGAACTGCACTATTGAGTTATACACATTTGAAGTTAAGAAAATAGACTGCAACATTGCTCTACGGACTTATTTAACTTGTTTCTACATTAACCGTGTGACACAAACAAAAACTTTACAAATTGGAGAAGGGGAAGCTTTTTCTTCAACTTGAATAACTATGTAAATGGAGGGGGGGGGGGGGTAAATTGATAGTTAGCCCTAGTCGCGTGAGCACTATATATGTCGCCTTCATTTATTTTAAAGAGCGCTTACATTAAGGAGACGGTGGGTGATCAAATTACACTCAGGGTTTTCATACAAAATACGCTAGGGCGTACATAATTTAGAAAGACGTGCTCAGAATGGTATGCCCGCTGGGGGGGGGGATGCCTATAATAAACACTGCAATCAAGTAGGTGAAATAGAATGCTGTGGTGTTTTTGTGATTTGGAAAGGATTCAACAGTTGTGTTAGGGTTGGGGGAATTTTGTGTTCTTCTATCAACTTCTTTGGGAATATGTTCCACTACCCCCCCCCCCCCCCCCCCGTAACCAGCACCCGCCACCTACGGTTAAATAATTGCACTGCAAAATTACGTGTACGTTTTTCAGAGCAACCTCAGCTCCCAGTAAATGTGTATTTTACATAAAATTATACTCAATTTTATCAAAGCTTTATAGAGACGGAACACCCCCACCGCATTCAACATTTCAGCATTATTTAATAAAATAAATCACCGCATCCAGGCGAGTTAGATTTCTATATTAAGTTTTAAGTACTATAAACGGTTAAAATAACTAAATATGAAAGTACAGGCTTTTAAAATGAAAACGAAGAAAATCATCAGTGCTATAAGACTATAAATCGCCAAAACAAACAAGTAAAACAACAACAAAATAAATAACGTTTGGTCTTTACAGTAGTAACATAGGCTCACAAAAAGGTTCATTCGTCAAGGGACGTCACTGTTTCATCCCCTAGTAAACAAATGGCCGAGGTAGTAGTTTCCGATAGGTACATGATATAAACAAGCGCGATTTTTTAGGCTGCTTCATTATTTTTCAAGTGTTTAATAAAAGTGTAATTTTATTGCAATTTACACAATTCTTACTGCAATGGATCCGTGTGCTAAGCAATTGATGACATCGATTTCTGAACGTTTACAGTCTTTTAAACGATCGCCCCTTCCCGCTACGAATAGAAATAATTTTTCTATTACAAATTCACCATTGAAATTAGCTGAAGCCGGGTTTGTACGCCCAAATAAAAAAAACCTAGATCAGTCGGATGAGGTTGAATGCAGTTTTTGTGGAATAAAATATGATGATTGGGATGGAGAGTCTCCTTTAGCTGTACATCGAACACTGAATCCAAAATGTCCCTTTTTAAACACTCCACCAGCTACTTCAGCTCCATTATTTTTTCAGAGGCAAAATGCTTTTACAGAGAGCAGCAATCACGAAAATGATTTAGAAAAGATCAGGAGAAAATTATTTCCTGATTCCGAAACATCTTCTACAAGCTTATTGAGTATCTGTAATATTCCTGACATTCAGCACCCCTTTCTTCCTAAGCAGGGCGGCTATTTAAAATTATTTGAAAGTCACAGGCTTCTAACTTTTAATAGCCCAATGGCTGCAGAAGCTGCTGCATATGCGGAAGCAGGATTTATTTATGATGCTTCATCTAAGCATGCTATTTGCGTGTTTTGTGATGTTCACATGGATATGCAACTAGAAAATGTTGCTTATTTGGAGTCAATTCACCAGGAAAAATCTCCACTTTGCCCTTTCGTTCGCTTGTTTGATGTTGGAAATATTTCTTCAGATGCTGAAAGAAAAATAAGAGAAAAAGTTCGAGCACGTCATCTAAATGAGTCTAACAACACAAAGTTAAGTGATGTTAAGATGAAATGTGTAATCAAGCACCCTGAATTTGAGGGTGAAGATGCTCGTCTCGGAACCTTTAAGTCATGGCCAAAATTATTGGCTTTAGTATTTCCAGCAATCATCATGGCAAAGGCTGGTTTTTACTATTCAGGTAAATAAATGAATTTAAAAAAATAATACATTATCAGATAGATTTATTTGAAAAAAATAATTTTTAACACCCTGTTTTTTTACTTATTAAATTCTTTTGGCCTATTAAAAAACTTTATAAACTAAAATGTAAACATCACCAATAGTAAAGGAGATTTTTGTGATATAGAATTTTTTTTGGAAATTAGTACAATAAAGCACTTTAATTTTGTGTGCATAATATATAGCAAAATATTGATGGATGATATTTTTAATCACTTAAAGATCTTTTGTAATCTTTTTAAGTGGTCGCCAATAAACAATGTCTCACTTTTAAGGGGGGGGGGGGGATGGCATTTGGACTTAGTGATGATTTATGACGAGTGGGAGGGCGGGTCAGAAAATATAATGATACATTTTTTTCTTTTAAAAATAATGTTTGAAACAAAGAATTTTAGCTGTTATTTTGCACTTTTACAGACTTTTTAAAAATTGTAATAAACACTGCCATACTCAATGTTGACCAAGCCCAATGAATATTTTAGAAAGAAATCTATGTTTCAAAAATAAAAACTGCAATTTTTTAGGGGGGGGGGGTATTGGCTGAGGTATGACATCATTTTAAGTAGGGGATCAGATCATCAATATGAATATGCACATGTAACAAAATCTATTAGTTAAAACAAAAAGTTGTTCTAAATTAGCATCAAGTTCATCCTTTATTTTATTTGTGACTTAAGTTTTGTTTTAAGATATTTTCATTTATACTTATTTTAAAATAAAATAGTTTTAGACCCTTTTATTTATTTAAAATCTTAATATTTAAATCTACGCAGTTCAAATTTTTGTAATATTTGCTACATTTTCATGATAATATTACTTAATGTGTTGGGGGTCTTTTTTATTGTAAATTTATTAAATTATAACATAAATTATTTTTTGCTTTGATTGCATACAAATTTAATTTCAGGTTTTATGGACAAAGTGAAATGCTATGCTTGTGGGGTTGGTTTGTTCAACTGGTCAGAAACTGCATCTCCAGATACACAGCATGCTAAAGTATCTCCACAGTGTGTTTTTTTGTTGCAAACCAAAGGGAAAGAATTCATTAGTCAAGCACAAGATGAAGATGTAAGGGAAAAATACAATATAAATTATCAAAATAAAACTCAACAAACTCAGCTAACTGAATATTTATAAATCTTTTAAGTATATTAACTTATGGATTCAGTATTAACTATATGATTAAATTAACAGAAAAGTTAAATTAATTTTAAAAATTAATTTATCTAAATTACTTTTCAGTTGACTGTAGAAGCAGACTTTGAAGAAGCCATTCAATCTCATGGTAAATTTCTCCACAATTTTCTTAACTATTGTCTTAAGGTTTTTTTTAATTCTTTAGGTTAACACTATTTAAAAAATGCTTTATTATATTAATTTATTTGATTAAAAAATATAAAATCTTACAATTTTAAAAATGATTTTTACTGTTTTAAAATACATGCACATGATTCTTTTTCCCTCGCATATTCTCAGAGCAAGTTGCAGCATTATCATCAAGTTTGTCACCCTCATCTACTTCAACAGCAGCAGTGCCATCAGAAACATCGTCATCATCCTCTTCACCCTCGGGATCTCCTGTCCTTGACCTGGAAGCTATCAATGCTGCCATGGCACGTCAGTACACAATAGAGCAAATATCTCATGCCGTCATCAAATTCTTTTACCTTTCTAGTGAGTTAATTGGCTAGAGAGTCACTACACAATAGAGCAAATATCTCATGTCATCATCAAATTCTTTTACTTTTATAGAAAGTTAATTGGCTAGAGTCACTACACAATAGAGCAAATATCTCATGTCATCATCAAATTCTTTTACCTTTCTAGTGAGTTAATTGGCTAGAGAGTCACTACACAATAGAGCAAATATCTCATGTCATCATCAAATTCTTTTACTTTTATAGGAAGTTAATTGGCTAGATACAAGCAATATCTGATGTCAATTTACTTTTTTTACTTGAGTTAGACTGATGAGAGAGGTCTTTATGGAACTTAATTTTGAGCTCCTTTATGCTCTAAATAGAAATATAATCTGTCTGTTGTAGATAGTCAAATTTGAAGTTTAAAGTTTAACTCAGACCTTTATTAAATAAATCAACTTTTGATGTGAATAACTTAATCCTGGTTGTAAACCCATAATTTAAACATCCAAGAGGTAATAAATCAAATAGATCAGTTTTTTATTCAATGCTATCATAATGATTTAGTCCATTACTATGAAAAAGCTCTAACATACATTTTCAACATTTATATCCAGTTTCTCATGTAATGATTTCTTTATCATAGACAACCTAATTTATAGACTTACTAATTAAAACGTTTAAAATAACATGCAAGTTGATATTTGTAAGATCAATCTTTGGGAAGAAAAACTTACACTCCTGTGTTGCTATGTTTTCAGATGGTAGGTATCCCAACACATCCTTATTAACTGGAATTCTGGAGGCAGCAGATGAGCTTTATCTTCGACTGTGTGAGAAAAGCCAAGAGATTCAAGAAAGCAAGGTTAAAGAGGCAGCATATCAACAGGAAATTCAAGCTACCAAGACGCAGCTTTTTGCAAAAGACCAGGAAATCCAAGCCACAAAATCAGAGCTTCAAAGAACTACATTTGAGTTAGAGTGGCGAGACCTGGAAGTACGAACAGAGCTGGAGCAGCGCTTTGTTGGTCAGATTCAGCAGCAGAGTGAGGTTAGAAAATGAGATCACTATTCTGTTCACACTAGGTTTTGTCACAATAAACAATAAAAATGTTAGGAAAACATAAAAAAAACTTAAACGATTATGAAGCAAAATGACTTCAGTTTTTTGTTAGTAATACTATTACAAAATTGAATAAGCACCACACATTCTTCAGTAGAATGTTTTTTTTTTTTTTGGCTCTTGGAGGTTTTTGTTTTACTCTTTTGTTTTCTGATTACTTGTAATGTCTAGAACTTAATATGGTAACTGTAGTTGAATTACATTATATACAATAAAAAATTACTAGTATACATGGTAAAAGTAACACATCCTATTATAGCCTTCAATGTCTAATGAAGATTAATGAGTTTTTTCATCTTGTTTTTAAAATATACAGCTGTATCTGATTGTGTTTCTCAATGTCTCAGATCATTGAACACAAAGATCAAATGATTGTGCAGAAAAACCAGGAGCTAGAACAGATTAGCATCCAGCTGGAGATGAAGAACAAGGAAGTGGAAGATCTTCAAAGACACAATAAATCCTTAATGGCAGTTTTAGAAAGACGAGGAGTTTCTGGCAGTGGTAAGCAATATTTTCTTGATTTCTGACCTTTGAGACTATTTGACTGATACATTTCTGTTATTTTATTTTGATAATTAATTTTCCACCATATTTTGTGTTGCAAGTGCTTATGTTTTTTCTTTTTAAAAATGTATACAGATGATGATGAAGAATCAACGTCATCATCTGATGTTGAACACACGTCAGAATCAGACTCCTCTCCTGAAGAGTTTCCAGTTGCCAACTGCAAAGTGTGCCTAATAAAGCAATCACAGATTGTGTTCCTTCCATGCAAGCATCTTTGCTGCTGTGACTCCTGCGCTTCAAGACTGCATGGACAGAACTGTCCCATTTGCAGGGAACGCAATTTGGGGTTTGAAAAAGTTTACGTTATTTAATTTTACCAATCTTACAATATTTTATGATGTTATACAAAAAAATGAAAATTTTAATTTAATGCTGATGAGATTTTTTATTATGAACTTAAATATGATCATATCTGTCGTTAAAAACTACACATTTCATAAATCTACATCCCGACTTAGGCAAATTTATTTATCTTGGCAATATGTATATAAATTTGTATCAGTTTTATGTATTTTGGAAGGAGTTAGCAGAATGGGAGCGTTCAAGTTTTAAACTACACATAACTGTCACTCTATCAGTTAGCTGTCTTCTTTATGGCAGCTCCTCTTTATTATTGAAGTATAATATTGTTTTCAAAAGTGTGAATGATATATAGTGGGTTTGGTTGGGGAGGTCAGGATTGAAAATTATTTCTAGTTTTAAGAAGGATACTTAAACACACAATTTTGCAACACCAGGTTTAATTTTAGCACTACAAGAAAGATTCTCAAAAACATTGAAAACAATTTAGACCTTGATTAAGTTTCTTGTTATTTTATGGTTATGTTAAAAAGAATGATGTCTCAACAGATTTTAAAATGTTTATTATACTGCAATTTACATTGTTTTTTTTAAAAACATTTATATTGATTATTCAGATAATTGTTTCATGTTTATGTCTTCTTAAGTCATAGAATTAGGACATTTGGATCAAACTTTCCCCATTCATTTTATGTCTCTCATTTTGTCATGTTACTTCTGATTGATTGGATTCTTTCATTAACTCATTAATTAAGATGTCTTAGCTTTATTCAATTAAAACTCTTAAAACTCTTTTCTTCCACTTAAAAACACTAAAGTACATTCTAAACAGTTTAGCACACTGTTAAAAACACATACAACAATTCTTAATTTATGATAATTTTCATGTGTAGAATAATTAGTCTCTCTTCTTTCATATAAAAGGGTATGAAAAAACCAGTCATTGAAACATTCAGACCAGGACTAAAGGGGGGTAACTAAAACTAGATTGTTGTGGGTGGTTTCCAACCTAAAATTATTCATGTAGATGTAGGTAGATAAAGTAAAGGTCGCAGTGATCCAGTTTTGAGAAAGGCTGAATCAAGAAATGGGTCGTGTGGGTAACTTATATTCTGTAGTTTCAAATAAGCTCGTATAACTAACTAGAAGCTAAAAGAAGGACCTTTAGTCAAACTTTTGAACTTCAAAAAATTCATCATTCTATAGTATTCACTCACCATTTTCAAATAGCTAATACTTAGACTAAGTAAGTGTTTTTATCTTGAAAGATTGTCTGTCTGACCAAATATTCTTTTCTAGAAAATTAGCGTTGAAATAAACAAGTATTTTTGCGGATAGTAGAAGGTAATTATTTCACTTCTGTATAGTAAGTTGAAAGTTTCCCATTGTTGGTTGTTCACTTTCACTCATTTGTTTGCCATATCCTCTGACTGTATGGGCCCGGTGAAGGAAGTTCAGCTAGTTTTCATTCCAGCCAATTTGCCTCAGTTAGGCCTTGTCTACTTGTTTGATGGAGATTTTGGTGGATCTAACTGACTGGTGTTAATTAGCTATTTTGTTCAAGACCTGCTGGTACTGTTGAGTAGATGTTAGCCAGTAAAATTTAGGGCGAAGTTGTTTTTTTAGTTTGAGAAATTTGATTTGCATAAAGAAACTCCATGCAGTGGAATGCTGCCACTGATCTAAACAAACATTTATTTCTACACAGTTCTCAGTTAAGTATGTTGTAATGGTGAGAATATTTTTTATACACAGCTCTCAATAATTTCTAATGGTCATAATCTCCTTTGTCCAACTACACACATTTGATATAAGCAGCTGAATTTACATGCAATGAAAGGAATAATTTGGTGATTCATAAGACTATTTAATGTCATTACATATCAAGATATATTTTATTTCTCTTAAACAGTTTGCGAGGCTAAATCTTAAAAGTTAGCAATTTAATCTTTCTAGTTTATTAAGAGGTTATCAGTTTTATCATTCATTCATTGTGTATAATATAGATAGCATACCTGTATTTCAACATCAGCCCTATTTTCATTGATACAATACCACTGTCTTTCTAATGACATATCTACTGGAGAATCAATTTTGGGTAATGCAAGCCCAATCTGAACACAGCAACAGTATAGAGATGTTTTTTATGCTGGTCCCTACTTGAGCAAGGGCTGGTGGTGCTATGACTAATTCTATTTTTTTTTCAGAGCAGCACTATGTTCACAAGATTGAATTGTACATTTATGACTAATGTTTATAAAGTGTTCATTATGTTAATATACCACTCTATGCGGTTCATTTGTCAGTGTCTTTCATTACCATCTCCCTCCTATTCTGTGTGTAAATTCTCATCAACCTTCTTGTCCAATCGATCTTTCTCTACAGCCCATTGTTTAGATTTTGGGTGAGTAAATTCTCCTCAACCTTCTTGTCAAATAGATCTTTCTCTACAGCCCATTGTTTACATTTTAGGTGAGTAAATTCTCCTCAACCTTCTTGTCAAATAGATCTTTCTCTACAGCCCATTGTTTACATTTTAGGTGAGTAAATTCTCCTCAACCTTCTTGTCAAATAGATCTTTCTCTACAGCCCATTGTTTACATTTTGGGTGAGTAAATTCTCCTCAACCTTCTTGTCAAATAGATCTTTCTCTACAGCCCATTGTTTACATTTTGGGTGAGTAAATTCTCCTCAACCTTCTTGTCAAATAGATCTTTCTCTACAGCCCATTGTTTACATTTTGGGTGAGTAAATTCTCATCAACCTTCTTGTCAAATAGATCTTTCTCTACAGCCCATTGTTTACATTTTGGGTGAGTAAATTCTCCTCTACCTTCTTGTCAAATAGATCTTTCTCTACAGCCCATTGTTTTACATTTTGGGTGAGTAAATTCTCCTCAACCTTCTTGTCAAATAGATCTTTCTCTACAGCCCATTGTTTATATTTTGGGTGAGTAAATTCTCCTCAACCTTCTTGTCAAATAGATCTTTCTCTACAGCCCATTGTTTACATTTTGGGTGAGTACTCTCCTCAACCTTCTTGTCAAACAGATCTTTCTCTACAGCCCATTGTTTACATTTTAGGTGAGTAAATTCTCCTCTACCTTCATGTCAAATAGATCTTTCTCTACAGACCAGTGTCAAACACTTGCAATCTTTTGCTGCCTTCCATTGTCTACATTTGCTGAAATGTCTTCTCTTTCTGGTGGTCCCTTTTGGCATTATTATCTATTTTGGCCAATTGGGGGGGGGGGGGGGGGGGGAGGTCCACGTTGACATAGGTGGGCCTGTTTCACCAGCTATTGTCACGGTTATCAATAATCTATGTTGAGATCACACAAAACAAAAGCAGCTTTAATAAGTGAAGAACTTAAAATCATTCATGCATGTCTTCTGCCATAGAAAACATCTTTTCTACTTTTTTAGCCTGTCTACTCCTGAAAGGCCAGGTGACGCTACAGTCAGCTTGTCAGTTTCAACATTCCTAAGACAGTCTGGAGGAACATTGTCTTCTACCATTTGTAATGTCAAATAGTTTGTCACCTCATAGCTTTGTGTACAAATAAAGTGAATTATTTCCCTTTAAGTATCACAAAGAAGGAAAAGTGTGTGTACAGATGAAAGTGAATAGTTGATCGTTTCCCTTTAAGTGTCAAATCAAATGAAATGTGTGTCTACCATTTCTAGAGCATTCCATTCAGCAACAACTTCAACATTGTCTACTTTCTTGCCTTAAATCTACTTTCTTATAGTAGTCCTGTTTCATTTACTAGTCCAAGTTTTTAAAATAAATTATTCTTCCCTATAACAAAAATTTAAAATATGATTCATAGTATTTAAATTTTATTATTTGAACTTTATTTTATAATTGTTTATTTATTTTACTACATCCCATACTAAATAATTAGACTGATGAAATACATTATACTAGAGCCAATCGTAATTACTTCAGGACATAAATAACAGTTTAACTACCTATTAATTAAATTTAATTGTTTTGCTTTGTTTATATTTAAAGTATGCAATTCATATAATTGATCTGTATCCATAAATATCTATTATAGCAATTATTTTTCATACAAAAAATAGTGAATGCAGCATACATTGAAGACTTGCAACTTTATTCTCACTAAAATATTTTTTTCTCCAGGTAAATGAATGGGAAACGGGGGATTAAGAATTTAATGTAACATAGAAAATAAAAGTTATGAAGAAAAACAGTTTAAGTTAGAATTAAGCTTTAAGTGATGTATAAAGACGGGTGAGGGAGGGAGGGAGGGAGGGAGGGTAGGGCAATCTTGGATGACCCCTGACCCAGTATATTGCCGTAATATTGAAGAGGAATACATTTGTGTAGAGTTTTCAAAATTTGCAAGCATGTACATTTGACAACCTGGCAGCATTTTTACTTTTATAATTTTTTTCACTGATTCCCTTAGCCAGCTTTTGTATTGGTTATGTTAGTTCACATTTCTGTTTAAGACGGAGAGCCAAATGTTGTCTATGGTGACATTTACAGTTTTACGTAATGACCAGCTTTAGCATGATTTAGTATGTGAGAATGAGAGAAGATGTTTTGTAGTTTATAAAATGGGCTGTGTTCATTTTTTAAAATCCTCAACTGGGTTCTTAGAGTGGCGAGACCTGGAAGTACACACTAGGAGTTGGGGCAACAGTTTGTCATTCTTGTTTCATCTCCTTTACTGTAATTTTTTTTAACCAAGATCAGTATAAAAGAAGTGAGTGAAGATTGAGAGGTCCACATTTTTCTAGTCCAGTGTGTTCTAAAAATAACTTAGTTATATCATTGATACAGCCAACTTTATAGGAGGGTGTGGGGTGGATGAATAAGAAGTTGATTTAAATGTCAAGAAATAGTTTTTGCCAAGTTTATAATCCTGCGTTAATTTGTCTGCTGTTTGGTATTCGAGTTTTGAGCATTTAGCAACAGTGTGATGTGTTGGTTTAGCTCAATAAATCCATTGATAGAACTACCTAATGAATTACCCCAG